AAAGTGGTTAACTAGTAAAATGTTTATCAGGATATCAGCAACATTTTAATAGTTAGCCACTTTTTGATATCTTTCACAGAAAATGAGATATATAGGCTCAAAGTGGACGATCCGGGTGTCGTTCTATTAGAGGTTTTACGGTATTTATTTATTGATTACGACCTTCCGTCGTGGAAGAAGAGAAAAAAGAGAAAAGGAATACAATACAATCACACAAAACACAGATACACGAATAACTAAACAACACATTCAAATAAAGTGGAGAACCGAATAGTAACACTATTTCCAAATAATAGCACATAACCATCAACACATACACGCATACAGAATAAAAATTATACCTGCAATAATGATTAACAGAAATAATAAATTATTTTACAAATTAGAGAGAGGGGCCTTGGGTTCTCAATTAGACTCAGAGTGCGGTTGACAAAGAAGTTTCGCCTTAGTTTAGATTTAGGAACGGGCCAGAGAAATCGTGTCTTTCTTCTAGTACGTGGTTCAGTTGACGCGAAAAATTCAGTTACGTACAGACCTATTTTTTCCGATATCATTTTTGATACCATTTTCCTGTCTATTGCTAAGCGTCTAGAGTGTAGTGAATTAAGACCAAAGAGTAGGTTGCGCTCGCTCGCAGATTTATATTTCTTATCGTTTGGGTTAACATATCTTCCTAGTTTACGACTATACAGTCTTCTAGTGAAAGAGTTTTGCACTGATTCTATTAATTTAATATCTGATAATTTGAAGGGACTACTGATTACCGTACCATATTCGAGCACAGGCCTTATGAAAACTTTGTATAAAAGAACCATTAATCGGGTGTTTTTACTATTAAATTGCTGGAAAACTTGAGACAGGATAAATTTAGCCTTGTTAGTTGCTTGTCTCCAGTGCTCAGAAAAATCCAGTTTTTCAGATACTAGAAATCCTAAGTCACGAGTTATTGTCTCTTTTTTAAAAGACTGACCTTCAATAAAGTAGTTCATAGTTTTCTTGCATTTACCTACTGTAAGAGCAACGGTTTTACTTGCGTTAAGAGGGAGTTTGGATTTTTCAGACCAATTTTGTATTAAGTCTATGCTTTTTTGCAGCGGGTTGTCAGGATCATTTTCGTTAATCGAGGCATATAGTTTAGTATCATCTGCAAACTGTTTACAATGAACTTCGTGAGGGAGGAAAGACGATATTTCATTAACATAGATCCCAAAAAGAACTGGGGACAAAACTGCACCTTGCGGGACTCCGCAAATTGCTAGTTTTGAACCTGAAAGCGTAGTCCCCACCTTTACTCTATAATTACGACCAGAAAGAAAATCATCAAGCCACATCAACAAGTGAGCATTCAGGTTGAGTTTTAGTAGTTTGTTAAGAAGCCTATCGTGGGGAATCTTATCAAAAGCCTTAGAAAAATCTAGGTAAATAACATCAACTTGTCCCTTATTTTCAATCATATTGGTCCAGTCGTTTAATGTCTCCATGATATTAGTAACTGTTGATTTTTTGGCTCTAAAACCGTGCTGATTCTTACTCCAAAACTGTCTCTCATCTAGATAGGGAGCTAGTCTACTTAAGATACATCGTTCATACAGTCTACATAAGTGCGAAGTGAGAGAAATTGGACGATAGTCCACTGGATTCGTTGGTTTACTTTTTTTAGGTAACGGAATGATTATGGAGGATTTCCATCTACTGGGGACACAACCCTTCATCATTGTTAGATTAAAAAATTGCGCTAAAGCACTAGAAATCAGTGGCGCTATGAGTTTGATGAATTTAAAAGGCACTTCATCGCTGGTATCTGAGCAAGAATTTTTTGCTTCACGTAATCTTTTGTACACTTCATCATCAGTCACATAAAGTCACGAAAGTCAGTCACGAAATGACAAATATCATACCCAATATTGTGAAAATGTTGACAATTTATTTATAAGAACCAAAATTTTTTTGAGCCCCGCAAAAGTTTAGACACAAAACTGTCAAACCTAATCCGATGGAGGCGAAGAATCCGATTTGAGGTACTGCATGAGAAACCTTTATCCAGTGGAGATAACTTTCAGTGGTTGGCATTTTTATAGTTCTGAATATAAATTGGAGTTTATGCCATTGTACAAAACAGGCACAAGATGCCGGAAATCGGACACAGACCGGAAATAATACTATCAATGTGCTTGTGATTGTTTTTTTGGGAATAGGAAACTTTCTTCGAACACTGTCCAGCCCAGTACACATCTAATATGCCGGAAACTTGTGGGCAAATACTGCTTCTCAAAAAACCCGCGACAGGAAATTAGAAAACTATACATCTACTGTAGATGATCTACATAAAAAGACCACATAACACATATTTTCTATTCGTTCTAAACATGGTCGATCTAGCGCTTATCTACAAGCAAATACCAAAGATGTTTGGTACACTTGCATTTATTGTGAATCCCGTTTTCGTCTACTTGATATTCACCGAAAAATCGACAAAATTTGGCAATTATCGATACGTTCTGTTGTACTTTGCGACGTTCAATTTGGTGTACTCGGTGGCAAATGTGGTCATTCCAATTGTGAGTTTTGTATTGTATTGTTGAGTAGAAGGGGTATTTTTCCCTTAAAGGTGGGGGGACAGGAGATTTCTCGGAGGATTTTTGGAGACAGGGTATGCATTCTACCGTGACGGTGTACAACGCTTAATGTCACTCTGGGTACAGCTGTCGTCCTCGCCTTTATGTATGCAATCGGGAGGTCGCTTTCTCTTTGCACGCGTGGCTCAGTCGGTAGCGGCGCCGCACCCTCCATCCTCGCCATCACAAGTTCAACTCCTCGACGGGCATATTTTAACGGAATTTCGAAAACATTATTTTTTCGTGTCTCCCCACCTTTAAGGATTTTTTCGAAACCAATATATTTTGACGTGGTGGCCTAACATTTTTAATCTGAGTTTTCTAGCCCAACACGTTAAAATGACCTAGTAATTAGCCTTACCTGACCCTGGTGCTTTTCCTTATTATTTTGAAGCGGTGGCCTATCTTTTCCAAGTTGGGTTTTCTAGGTCACCGCGATAAAATGACCTAGAAATAGACTAACACGAACCTGGTGCTTTTCTAGGTCATTTTATCGCGGTGNCCTAGAAAACTCAACTTGCGAAAGTTAGGCCACCACGTTAAAATGACCTAGAAATAATCTAACACGACCCTGGTGTGTTTTCTGTGTCATTTTGACATTTTGATGCGGTGGCCTAACTTTTACAAGTTTAGTTTTCTAGGCCACCATCTTTTTCGGCCTAGAAATGGACTAACATGAACCTGGTGTGTTTTCTGGGTTATTTTAACGTAGTGGCCTAGAAAACTCAACTTGTGAAAGTTAGGGCACGGTCTGTGGGAAACCTCATTGACGAGATATTGTTACCCCGAGTTTATTTTCGGTAGGCTGACGAATTATTAGGTTCACTTGATGACAACTAACAAGAATTCCTAGAATTTCCAGGATATCAACAGCCATCGCTATTGCTTCTATTTGTTCATCAGCGACGGACTTTTCGTAGAACAATCCGACTTGCACCTTCATATTCTTTCCTTGCGATGTGCATTGGTTGCTGCCAGTTATGGTGTCCTTATGAGTCATTTTATTTATCGCTATCTAGTGGTACATGATAGCAAACTGACTCGTGAGAACTTCCATGTCTTTGTTCTCATCTCATTCGGAGTTTTTGTGGGCTACATAACAGTTTGGCACTTGGTGGGTTTTCATAATTCGGTTCATACTTAGAATTTTGGTTAGAAAGGTCCGACCAATTTCCAGACCTGCTATCTGCTCGGAAGTGCAAAACGCGAAATCAAGGAGTATATCAGAGAGGACTTCGGCAAATTCTATGGAATCGATCCCATGGACCGGAATATGATATCTTGTTTGTATAATGAAGGCTCACAGAGTACATTGATACGTGGATGGACATCCACAATCATCTGGACCACAGTATCCGCATTAACGATTTGTGTATTTTTGAAATTTGCTCATATGGTATAAGAGCCTTAAAAAATTTGCTCTGAAAAATTTTGTTAATTTCAGATAATGAAAAAGTTGAACAAGATGGCAGGCACAACTAGTCGTAAAACCTCAAATTTCCAAGTGGAGCTTCTTCGAGCGCTTATTGTTCAAACAGTGATTCCAATTTTTGTCAGCTTCTTCCCATGTGTGATTAGTTTTACAATACCGATTTTCAACTTGGATTTGGGAAGGTATCACTCTTTTTTTTTGTTGAATAAAGCTTAAAATGTGAGTTTTCAGGCCCATCAACTACGTGGAGGTGATTGCTCTTGGAGCATTTGCATTCTGTGATCCAGTGGCTATTGTCATGTGTCTTCCCATTTTTCGAAATCGAGTTTTGTGTAAAAAACAAGTCGCGAAGGAGCAAAAGGGTGTGGAGAAACCGGCAAACGCGGTAGATTCCAAGACTACAACATTGTAATGTGAAACAAATTGATATAAACTAGCGTAATATATAAACACTACTTCGTAATGTTTTTCTGCATCGAATAAATTTTTTCGATTATATCAGCGAAAATGCCTTTTCAAATTTTATCCAGTCCAAATAGTTTTCGGGCTCTCTAGTTTCAAAAAGCTGAATGGTATTCTCTAATAGTAAGCATTTCCGATAAACGCAAGTGTACCAAACATCTTTGGTATTTGCTTGTAGATAAGCGCTAGATCGACCATGTTTAGAACGAATAGAAAATATGTGTTATGTGGTCTTTTTATGTAGATTCTCTACAGTAGATGTATAGTTTTCTAATTTCCTGTCGCGGGTTTTTTGAGAAGCAGTATTTGCCCACAAGTTTCCGGCACATTAGATGTGTACTGGGCTGGACAGTGTTCGAAGAAAGTTTCCTATTCCCAAAAAAACAATCACAAGCACATTGATAGTATTATTTCCGGTCTGTGTCCGATTTCCGGCATCTTGTGCCTGTTTTGTACAATGGCATAAACTCCAATTTACATTCAGAACTATAAAAATGCCAACCACTGGAAGTTATCTCCACTGGATAAAGGTTTCTCATGCAGTACCTCAAATCGGATTCTTCGCCTCCATCGGATTAGGTTTGACAGTTTTGTGTCTAAACTTTTGCGGGGCTCAAAAAAATTTTCGTTCTTATAAATACATTGTCAACATTTTCACAATATTGGGTATGATATTTGTCGTTTCGGAGATTTTGTTTATCCGGTAAGTGTTGTATTACGAATTTTCACTGTTTTTTAAATCTCGAATATAATTTCAAAACGTTCAAAGCTACAATGCTGGATTTCTCTTTTTTACAATTGCTGAACCTTTTGGTGTTGTGGATTTGAATTTGCGAACAATGCTTTTAGGTAGAGTACGGGTCAAAAAATGTTCCGTCTGTGTGTCCGAATATCAGGATTTCAATTTTCAGCCGGCTTCACATTTTCCTACGTGGCTACAATGTCGCTATTAGCTATACAGTTCATCTATCGGTATTGGATAATTTTCGAGTGAGTTTCAGTTTTTTGGACCAGTTTTCTAAAGTAGTTTTTTACTTTTACGATTTACAGATTCTGAAAACGGGACATTTAGCGTCGATTCTTCAGTGGAATCTACTGGCTCGTTTGGCCATTATTCTGCTTGATTTTTGCGTTGGAGTATGCTTGGGGAGCCTTCTATTTCTATTAAAAGTATTCTGTAACCATGGAATATTTCCGAGAAGAAATCCACTACAGATATGACTGGAATATTTCTGAAATTCCAGCTGTTGGCTTGGTAGCTTATGATCCATCTAGTGGAATGATTCGGTGGAATAATGTAGCAGGAATAATAAATAGTTTGTTGATTTCCATGGCACTATACAGTGTCACGATTTCTTGTGGATGGTCCATATGGCATGAAATGGAGGAAAAAACTAAAAACTTTTCGGACGAACTCAAAAAAAAACCAAAAACAGCTATTCGAAGCTTTAATTCTTCAGGTGCTTAACCTTTTCCAGTTAAACTATTTTCAAAATTTCCAGATCACCGCCCCCACGATTATTTTGTTCACCCCAAACTTGATTATAATACTCTTACCCCTTTTCAATCCGCAAATTAGTATTCCATCTGGAACATTATCATTGTGATGTATGTGGTGTCTCAATACCGTCAAACTGTAAAAAAGGTGTTTAAAGGTTTTTTGAAATTTAAGTTTATTCAGTCTAGAGGTAACATCCATACAACTGCGACTAGTGAGTGTTCAGGCAAAAAAAAATAAAAGTCGGGAATATATGAATTATTACTTTCAGGTACAATTAGATTTTAAGAATTGCAATATCCTTTGGAATGGACTGTCAAAATGAGTTTTCGGAACTTTTTCATGAAATCGAATAATCCGAAGTGCCCAATTTCCAAATTCGCTATTTTCCACACCCCCGCGAATTGTCGAACTATGTGTTTTTACTGTCTGAAGCGTTCCGTATGTTTTTACATGTAATTTTTTTTTGATTTCCTCTCTGATGACTTCTGGAAAAAAAAACAATCACCAGTTTCCGATACAATATGTTTTATGGTTTTTGTCTGTGATTATAGGCATACGGTACTAGATTATTAGGTCTGTGGTACTTACGGTATTCATGGCCAGGCTGTCAATCTGTTGGTCAACCGGATCACTTTTTTGAACTTTGTGATTTTTTTCAAGAGTTCAGGAAAATTCATTCGAAAAGTTTTTATTAAAGGAGGGCAGACAGCAAAAATTTCGGGGAAAATTTCAGGGAATGTTTTTGCCGTCGCGTTTTTGCCGTCGCGATTTTGCCGTCGCGGTGTTCGCACCTAAAGCACGCAATCCCACGCGCAAACATTTTTATTTTTTTATTTCCCGACTTTATTTTTTTCAATTTTTAACGACTTCAAACATTAAAAAAGCTCTTTTTTCTTATTTATTATAAAACCCATATAAAAGTGAATTTTTTATGTAAATTTAAAGTTCTATCGACCGATTATTTTGCCAGTCGCCGGTGTTTTTTATAGGCATGCGAAAAAAACTATTTTCTCTTCGATAACCGTTTCTTTACTGTTCCTATTTATCTCATTACTTCTCGTTATTACTCTAGGAATAAAAACTGTTTTATGACTAGGGTTTTCAGAGACGTCTCCATTTTTACTGCTTCCTTCACCTTCCGACGACCAGCCCTGCACGAGGATTGTTTTAATTATGTGGTTTTTTTTTCAATTGTTATGTCTCTTTCTAAAAATTAATTGTAGTTTTTTTCATAATTTATTTGTTAACATAATAAAACAAGTTTCTTCATTTTCAACTGATTTTGGTACCTCGGAGCGAGGCCTCGGCGGCACGCTGGTAGCCCTTCAGAAATTCCGAGTTCAAAAAGTTCAATCCGAAGGAAACAAGGGAAGAAAAAAGTAAAAACACCAGCAGGGATTGAACCTCTGACCTCCTGAATACTAGCCTAGAGCGTACCCACTACACTATGCGTGTAAGAGGCGACCATCGCGTTTTTCACATTATGAAGCGACGCCGCAGCAGCAAGCTAGTGAAGAAATTAGGGCGACAAAAAAGAGCATTTTTTCGTCCTTGAAGTGTTTTTTTCAGGTTTTCAAGTACATAGCTATATTTATACTTCAGAGTTATATCTTTTCAGTAAAAATGAAAATTTTGAAATTTTTGATGTCTACCCTCCTTTAAATTCACATAATGTCGGAAGCTTCGAACTTCCGGAAAAAAAATCCAAATTTAACGGTTCAAATGTGGTACAAATCTCATTTTTCACAGCTAAAAAGTAAAAATATCATATATTTTGTCTGGTATTGTATGACTCAAAAAATAGGAAATCTTTGCCAAAAACAATAGAAATGGACATGATGGCCAACACTTGTCTAATTATAAGGAACAATTGCGAGCACATTAATAATGATTTCTGTCTACACACCCACTAGTGCGTCATTTGTCAAGAACAAGAAATACAAAAAATGAATCTCCGTATAAATAAGATCGTTTTGTTACCTACTGCATTATCAAAAATGTACATAAATTTCGCCCATTTCCTTATTCCAAAAATTAGTGCTTTGTGTTCAGTGCTAATCAACCCATTGACTGTGTACATCGTTTGGAATGATAAGAAACTTCAGCTAGGTCCTTATCGATATCTTTTGTTATATTTTGCATTCTTTAATATAACAACTTCGGTGGCAGATATGCTTGTACCGATGGTAGTTTTTTTCAGTAATTTAATTTTTGAAAAATGTTAATTTTCAGTGTGTTCTGAATTATCGCTACGCGTTCTCGGTTTTTGTGTCCGAGGGATATTTTGATCAGGTAAGAATACTGAGATTCTGAAATTTTATGATTCTGAAATTATGTGACTCTGAGATTCTGAGATTCCGAGATTCAAAGGTTCTGTGAGTCTGATATTCTGAAGGATTCTGAAATTCTAAAATTTTAAGATTATGAAATTTTGGAATTTTAAGATTCAGAGAATTTGGTATTTTGGGATTCCGAAATTTTTATTTAATAAAAACTAAAAATGGGAATCTCAAAAACTCTGAAAATCTAGAATTGCGAAGACGTCGGATTGTTATTCCGGGGAAAAAAATCTAGTTGATGAATCATTTTTTCCGAGATTCTGAGAGTCTGAAGCCTTAGATTCTGAAATTCTTGCATTCCAAAGTCTGAGATCCTGAGATTTTTATATTCTGAAACTCTGAGATTTCGATATTCTGAAATTCTGAGATTTTAAAAAATTGAGAGTTTAAGTTTCGGAGATGTTGATTTTCTCAGATTCTCATTTTTTCACGTAGATCTCATAATTTTTGAATCTCCTTAGAATCTCAAAAAACTAAGAATTTTAGTTTCGTAAAATCTTCGTCTTTTTTTCCAGTATTCCGAGTTCAATCAATTTTTCCTCGCTTTTCGGTGTAGCCTAATTTCTGGAGCCTACGCAGTTCTTCATGCTCATTTTCTTTATCGATTTTTTGTCCTTTTCAACAATCAGTTCCTAGCCAGATGGTTTATGCCCTATGGTATCATTTTGGCAGTTTTGTACTGCCTGTTTCATACTGTATACTGGACAATTGTAAGTCGAATATTTGGTTCTAAATGCCATCATTAAACAATTGATTTCAGTTTTGTTGGTTTTATATGGGCGGCGATTTCGATAGAAGAGTATACATCAGAGATTCTATGTTGGAGCATCATGGTGTGGATGTCATGAACATGACAATAATCATTGCTCAGTACTTTGTGAGAACCTTTTTTTTCAAAATACAGTATCGGAAAAATTTTTGACTTAGTTACGGACTTAGTTAGTTGATAATTTATAATTTCAGTATTTTTCTTCAAAAAATCCCCCAATTTTCAGGAAGGAACACCCCAGGCAATGAAAAAGTCTAGAATTGGAATCGGTTCTCTGTCAGTTCTCTCAATTATTTCTCTTGTTTTCATCTTTCATTTTGGCTACAAAATCTGTCACAAACTTTCCAGTCAAAGTCTGGAAATGAGCGAAAAGACTAAAAAACTTCAAACTCAACTGATGAAAGCGCTAGTTGTACAAGCTGCCATTCCAACATGTGTCAGTTTTGCGCCATGCCTGTTTGCATGGTATCAGCCAGTTTTTGGGTTGGATTTGGGAAGGTGAGACTTTGAAACAAAAAACGGACCAGAAACGGATCAAAACGAAGCAAAAACGAACCAATAACTTATCAAAAATGGATCAAAAACAGACAACAAACGGTCCAGAAACGGGTCAAAAACGAGCGAAAGCTCATTTCGGCCCGGATTCAACTGGTTTTTAGTCCGTTTTTAATACATTTCTGACCCGTTTTTGACCTGACCAGCGCCTTTTCGAAAAATTGTAACTATGTCAAAATTGTTTCAGATGGATTCAACATGCTGCTGGAATCGCCGTTGCCACATTTCCAGCATTGGATCCGTTGGCTTTGATTTTCTTCGTGCCTACATTTCGAAAGAAATTCGCGGAATATTTTTTGTTCCTGAAATCGTGCAGGACCAACAGAACTACATGTTCTCAACAGACAACGACATCTACAAGCCAACCAAGGATTGATAAATGATGAAAATTTGTCTTCATATATTTCCCCTTCAAAAAATATATCCCTGTAAAAGATGTCGAGAAATCGCGATCTTGTTTTTCTTGATGTCAGAAACATTTCATCATTTAAACATTATTTGAAATTTCAAACAGGAAACGAAATAACTATTAGGGGTTTGCAAAAGTAATGCGCGTCAAGTTTGGTGTTTTGTATCTCACCCAAAACAAACGGTTTGTGTTCAATTTTTTTTGTTTTAAAAAGCGCGTTCGTGGGCTTCATTTTGTTATATTATATTGCTGTTTCAATTTGATTTCTATGAAAAGAACATTCTAGAAGATGTCCGACCAAAAATTTCGCCTTCGAGCATTTTTGTGGCACCAATTTAAGGAAGGAAAATCGGCTGCCGAAGCTCACCGCTCACTTTCTCCTGTATTCGGTGAAGAAGCTATATCCGAAAGTCAGTGTCGCCGCTGGTTTCAGCGCTTCAGGAGCGGAGATGAAAGATTGGAAGATGAATCGCGCCCTGATCGTCCAGAGCAGGTGGACAACGATGCCTTGAGAGCAGCAATTGAAGTGGATCCTTGCCAAACTACTCTCAGTCTCTCGGAGCAGTTCGACTGCGATTTTTTCACAATTTCCAGACATTTGCATGCAATCGGAAAGACAGACAGATGTGGAAAATGGGTCCCTCATGAGCTTTCCGATTCGAACAAGGAAAGACGTGTTGCCAATATTATGATGCGCCGCTCCAAAAATCGTGGTTTCTTCGATTCGATTTTGACATCGGATGAGAAATGGATTCATTGGGACAATAATGGGAGAAAAAAACAGTGGCTGAGTCCTGGCGAGACCCCGAAACCGACTCCAAAACCGGACATCCACGGTAAGAAGGTGATGATATGTGTCTGGTGGAACACACGATGTCTCGTGCATTTTACTTCGGAGACCTGGTCAAACGGTGAATGCGGACCTTATAAAGATCAGCTGGACCGTGTGGACCAAGCTCTCAAACGCCAAGGCGTGGACACTTCGACAACACTCTTGCTCCATGACAACGCTCGACCACACACTGCAAAAATCATTCAGCAGAAAACTCGGAGCTGGGCTGGGAAGTGTTGCCTCATCCGCCATATAGTCCCGATTTGGCACCATCGGACTATCACCTATTCCGATCCATGCAACATCATCTGGCCGAGAAAAAATTCGAAAGCGGTGAAGAAGTGCAAATTTGGGTGGCGGACTATTTCGAGTCACAGCCAGAGGAGTTCTTCAAGAAAGGCATCGCTGAATTGCGCACACGTTGGCAGCAAGTAGTGAACAATAATGGAGAATATCTTATTGATTGATGATCTCTTGTTTTGGTTTCACAATAAAAGGAAGTTGCATCAAAAACGCGCATTACTTTGCAAACCCCTGATAGGTTCAAATGAGCGATCTTTTCAGATTTCCAAAGTAAAAATTCAAGCGTTATTTGAACGTGACGAAAAAGAAACTACAAAATAAATCCACGTGGCAAAAAAAGAAAACACTTCGAAAAATTTCAAAATTCTAGACAAAAACGACTACGTGAATTAATTTAGAAACCTACGACCCTAGATGCCCCATTGACCTCATGAAGAACAGTATAAAGGAAGAGTGAAGTGAAGGGAAGAATTAGTTCTCTCTTTCTCTGGGCTCCAGAGAAGGGATCCGGGATTCCGGGCTTCCGGGCTTCCGGGCTTCCGGGCTTCCGGGCTTCCGGGCTTCCGGGCTTCCGGGCTTCCGGGCTTCCGGGCTTCCGGGCTTCCGGGCTTCCGGGCTTCCGGGCTTCCGGGCTTCCGGGCTTCCGGGCTTCCGGGCTTCCGGGCTTCCGGGCTTCCGGGCTTCCGGGCTTCCGGGCTTCCGGGCTTCCGGGCTTCCGGGCTTCCGGGCTTCCGGGCTTCCGGGCTTCCGGGCTTCCGGGCTTCCGGGCTTCCGGGCTTCCGGGCTTCCGGGCTTCCGGGCTTCCGGGCTTCCGGGCTTCCGGGCTTACAGAGGCTTCCGGGCTTCCGGGCTTCCGGGCTTCCGGGCTTCCAGGCTTCCGGGCTTCCAGGCTTACAGGCTTCCGGGCTTCCAGGCTAACAGGCTTCCAGGCTTCCGGGCTTTTTTGCTTCCGGGCTTCCAAACTTTCGGGCTTCCAGGCTAAAAGCTTCCGGGCTTACGGCTTCCGGGCTTCCGGGATACCAGGCTTCCGGTCTTCCGGGCTTCAGGGCTTCCGGGCTTCCTGGGTCCTGGGTCCTGGGTCCTGGGTCCTGGGTCCTGGGTTCTGGGTCCTTCACCGGAGATATCAACCTTCTCAACCGAAATCTTGCCGCGTGGTAGACAAGCATTCTTTTGGAATAATTCAGAGAATCCGGAAAAAAAAACAAGAACCATCATATTTTTCACCTGTGGCTTGTTTTTTCTTTCAGCACGACTTTTTCAGAACCATAACAAAAAATATTATTCCTTCCCGTTCCGTTATCATTTTCAGCTTTCTGAAAATGTTCTCTTTGTTCCTGGAACTGTTCAAAATTTCCTACGAGAATTTCGAACTGGATCAATATTTTCTGACCAACTATTCCGACTCATGTCCACCGAGATCTTATTTTGAGAGTTATGAATTTTTCAAAATGTCTCTGAATTGTCTTACTGTACCTCTTATTTTATTCGGGAGTTATGGGATTTTTGTAATTCTGATGGCGACTCCAATAGAGTTGAAAAGTGCAAAATGGGTGGTATTCAAGTTTCAAGTGGCGTAAGTTTTCATTCTGGATTCAATTTCAAAGTTCCATTTTTATAAATTATGAAAATTCCCTTTTCCGATTTTAAACATTCAAAATACAAAATTTTAAAACTTTCCAGATCCTTCTGGTTTGGGTCCATTGCTTGTTTTCTGGAACGTCCATTTATCCATTATCCATCAAGTGCCAGATATGATTCTGGACTATTTGTACTGCTAGGAATCCCATTTAGAATTGCTTCAATTTTGGGACAAACTTCTTATTCCAGTAGGTCAACAATTTTTAATTGAAAAAAATTCCTTTTTTCAGTTCAAGACATTTCTCGAGTATTACTATTTGAACATCGATTCCATCAAACTAGTACTAACTCAATGAAATTGAAAACAAGAATACTATTTTATATTCTTCATTATTTTTTATTCCTCTCCATTTTCATTTTTTACTACAATTATTTTCCTATTGATGAATTTTTGGCAAAACTGGCTATTCTGGAATTTTTACCATGTCCAGAGAGCACATTTTTCGATGAAAATACCCATATTTTAACTGGAAACTCATGGAAAATTTATACTTTTCAATCCGTTTATTTTTTCGCGTTGGCCTATATTTTTGCTTTTTTGAGTGCTCGAAATTTGTGGAGTCGGCAGTTTGATATTTCAGAAAATAGAAGGAAAATTCAGAAGCGATTTTTGATTATTTTGGTTTTTCAATCTGGAATTCCTTTGCTTATTTTATTAATTCCAAGTTTGATTTCATGGGCAAAGATTTTCGAGTTCAGAGGTTTTTCGAATATTTAAAATTAATTTCAATAAAAAAAAAAATAATTTCAGCAATCGGGCCCTTTACTGTAATTTGTGTGGTTTTTCACTCGATTCTGGCCAGTTTGCTGCTGATAACTCTGCACAAGTCCTATAGAAAATACACTTTGGATTTGTTTTGCAGAAAAATAATTTCGAGAAAATCGAAAGAGAATTCGAGAATAATCAGTGTGGCGCCGTGGTCGAGCTGATGGGATTTGATGGGATTTGATGGGACATTTTGGAAATTTCATTTATTTTTGAAATAAATGTGTTTATTCAGAAAAAAAAACTTGGAGAATTAAAATTTCAAGAACATCAGATATTATAAACCATTTTCAACAAATTGAAAATATCAATTAACATCCGGTAAAAAACTTCCTCTTCTCCTGATTTCCACAATTCTTCGCACTTTCTTATTTCTCCAAAAAATTCTCATCGTAAAATTTCGATAAGGTTTATGTAGAAATATAAGAAGTATACTTGATACAACACCATGCAGAGCCACAGAAATGAATAAGAATGAGCTGATGGCTGAAATTGTTCCTTGAACAATAAAAAACAAAAAATTACCATGAAAGCTGATACCAAAAGCCATGAGAATCCAGTAGATCAGAAATGGAAGAAATAAAATTAAAAACGGGACTGAGACCTGAACAATGAGGGCCAATAAAAATCTTTTCTGTAAATTTCGAGTATTTTCTGAAGTTACAGAATTTTTCTGTAATAAACAGATTGCACTGGAAACGGTAAACGAGAAAGCCAAGGCGAATAAATAAATTGATTGTGCAGCGCTCATTTTGGCCTGTCTAGACAAATTAACAGTCATCACATGGGTCTGGTCCAGAAAAAAATTTGGCTCTGGACATGGAAAATTTTCTAGAATCTCCAATTTTGCGGAGATATTATCCACTGGAATAGAGAGGTGTAACAGGAATAGGATCATGAAAAATAGATAGTGAGTTGTGAAAAATAGAAATCGAAGTTTCGAACCCATTATTCTTTTTGGGTTGTCACAAATTTGAGCGTACTGGTTTTCGAATAGCATTACCAATGATATTTCATAAACTGAAAATTTGAAAAATATTATTTTTCGACATTTCTAACCTTCTTTCTGAATTTTTTATCAGAGAAATCGAAACATTTTTACTACTTTTTAGAATTATTTTCCACTAAAAAAGTAACAAAAAAAATCACTCACTTGGATAAGAAGTCTGTCCGAGAATAATAGAAAATCTAAAAGGAATTCCGATTTGTAAAAATAAACCAGTTGCAAAAATTGCGGTTGATGGAAAATGGATTAGTGGTCTCACTAGGACGCTGGCAACAAATCCTAAAAAGACACTCCTGAAAATGTTCCTATTATTGGTGTGCTCTATTGGACATTTTGAGAAGGAAGCATCTTGCAAACGGACATTTTAGAAAATCTTATATTGAAACTGGACGTTTTTGTTCTAGATAAACAATTCAAAATTTTTTTATTAACAAAACTCCGGCTGCGAAATGGTCAGGTGCAAAATGACCGGTTATAAAACGTCCAGTCGCCAAATGTCTCACTTTTGGACCTACTCACGCTACATGACAATTGAGCACCGCCCATTTTGATTTTCTCATTTCCTTAGGAGTTGCTAAAATTATAACCGCTATCCCAAAAAGGCCAAAAATCACTGAAAATGGCGCAAAAATATTCATAATCATTTTGAAAAAATCATAAGTTTCGAAATATGGAGTTTCAGGACAGAACAATGAATAATTGGTTAGAAAATATTTTTGAAAATTTTCAAATGACATTTTTCTGTTGGGAAACCAGATAGAACAAAAGAAAGTGAACTAGATATAAAATATTTGTCATCTAGATTTTATTATTTTGTTAATCACTGATGTTGATATTTTTTGGGGAGAACAAAAAATTATTGGGTTACTCATTTTTTGATCATTTGACAATTGAATAGAAAAAAGAAGTTTTTGCAAAATAGTAGTTTTTTGTTTTGCCATTTTCACACATTTGATGAATACACTTGAATTGTTTAGTTAAATTAATTACTCAGGCGTTGTTGGTGACTTCTGGCCGGAGCTTGGTCAGATTCCGGCAAAGACATTGTGGGAAGCCGACCAAGATCCGACAAACTACCGGCCAGCTTCCGACCTCTTAACACTTCAAATTCCGGCCAAAATCCGACCATTGTCCGTCCCACTGCTGCCAGTGGGCGGCTTCTGACCAAAATCTGACCAAGATCCGTCCAAAAGCCAAACCCCCCTCAACTTCCGTCCAGAAGTTGCGATCCGACAGCCGAGAGGTCTGGCTGGCGCGCATTCGGCGCGTTAAAAATTCGGAAATTCCAATCAAACGTCACTTTAAAAAATAAAGGATTAGCAGAAACACTATAAATTCCATAAAACTCGAAAAGAAAAAGCTTAAATTTCATGGAAATTTTAAAAAGAAAATAATACATTCTCCAACATTTTTACATTTATGCTTTCATAAATCAATCTTTAACAAATTCAAAATTTCAGTTAAAAACCGGCAAGAAACTTTTGTTTTTCTTGATTTCCGCAGTGTTTCGTATTTTCTTATTTCTCCAAAAAATCAGCATCGAAAAATTTCGATAAGGTTTATGTAGAAAAATGAGGATCATACTTGATACAACGCCATGTAGACCCACAGAAATGAGTAAGAACGATCCCATGCCTGTAAAATATTTTTTTTTTTGAAATTCAAAAAAGTTTTTGAATTTCAAAAAAACCATGGAAATGGACTCCAAAAGCCATGAAAATGAAGTAGATAAAGTAGATATGAAATGGAAAAAATAAAATTGAAAATGGGACTGTGACCTGAACAATGAGAGCTAATAAAAATCGTTTCTGTAAATTTCGAGTATTTTTTGAAATAGCACAATTTTTTCCGTAATAAGCAGCTCGCGCTGGAAACGGTAAATGAAAAAGCCAAAGCAAATAAATAGAGCGAATGCGCAGCACTCATTTTCGCATGTCTAGACAAGTTTGCGGTCATTATATGGGTCTGATCAAGAAAAAAGTTCGGTTCGGGACATGGAAAATGTTCGCAAATAGTTCGGAGGGTACAATAATTCGGGGGTACAAGGGGGTACAACGTGATTTAGGGGTACAAAACCAACAACTCGGGGGTACAAACTAAGCCTTTTCCCGGTATTTTGTACCACCGAATTGAAGATTTTGTACCCCTAAATTGCTTTCTACCCCTTTGTACCCACAGGTGATTCGCGAACAATCCGTTGCGGACGCTCCGCGTTCGCGCGCGGTTGAAATAGGAACCGCATACGGACCGTACGCAAACCGTTTTTAGTAAATAGCAGTACATTATTCGGATTGATCCGTATCCTGTCCGTTCGCGAGCTCCGAAAGAGAAATCGAAACATTTTTACTACTTTTTAGAATTATTTTCCACTAAAAAAGTAACAAAAAAATCACTCACTTGGATAAGAAGTCTGTCCGAGAATAATAGAAAATCTAAAAGGAATTCCGATTTGTAAAAATAAACCAGTTGCAAAAAATGCGGTTGATGGAAAATGGATTAGTGGTCTCACTAGGACGCTGGCAACACATCCTAAAAAGACATTCCTGAAAATGTTCCTATTATTGGTGTGCTCTATTGGACATTTTGAGAAGGAAGCATCTTGCAAACGGACATTTTAGAAAATCTTATATTGAAACTGGACGTTTCTGTTCTAGATAAACAATTCAAAATTTTTTTATTAACAAAACTCCGGCTGCGAAATGGTCAGGTGCAAAATGACCGGTTATAAAACGTCCAGTCGCCAAATCTCTCACTTTTGGACCTACTCACGCTACATGACAATTGAGCACCGCCCATTTTGATTTTCTCATTTTCTTAGGAGTTGCTAAAATTATAACCGCTTTCCCAAATATGCCAAAAATCACTGAAAATGGAGCAATAATTTCATAATTGTTTTGAAAAAATCATAAGTTTCGTAATATGGAGTTTCAGGACAGAACAATGAATAATTGGTTAGAAAATAGTTTTCAAGAAAATAGTTTTTAAGACTTTCAAATGACATTTTTCTGTTGGGAAATCACATAAAATGAGGCTAGAAAACTAAAAGATCAGTGTTAATCACTGATCTTGTACTTTTTTCCGTTATCCGGAAATTGAAAATAGAAAAGAACAAGGTCTTGTTTTTTGTTTTGCCCCTAAACTTCATTGGTTTTTTTTTATTATTTTCACATGTTCGCATTTTTACTATGAAAAACTAAAAAATTCCGAAATTCTGATATTTAACAACGTCGGAATTCAAATCGTATCCAAATACTTAGAAACCTGAAAATCAGGAAATTCGTAAATTTAGAAAAAAATCTTCATTCAAAAAATTCTATTATTAAAAAAAATTAAAATTTCAATTTGAAATCGCAATACTTGAGTTTCAGAAACAATTTATAATTGCCTAACATGGTTTGGAATTGAGAGTTCCATTGGTAAGTTTAAAGTTTCCACTTGATATTCTTTCATTTTTTCTTGTAGATCTTTCAGAGATTTTCCGATTTCCGAAATTTGTCGATAATCGAAATTCGAGATGGCTGACTCCAAAGTTTTCAAAACTTGATTGATTGTGTCGTTCTCCAAAAATCTTTGCATAGCTGTTACATGGTCCTGAAAAATTGAAAAAGTTTATATTTGAAAATTCGGAAATTCAGAAATTCAGGAATTCCAGAAAGATTCAAATGTTCCCGGAGTTAATTTTTAAAATTTTATGTTTTTCCAAATTTTCGTTTGCAGAATATATATTAAAGATTTCTACAAACAATGGGATTTTTAATGAAACATTTATTTCATCGTTTCAAATTTGAAAAAAAATCATTTTGATTGTAAAATTTTGGAAATTTTTAATTTAATTTAATTTATTGACCGGTGTAATGAAACAATAGAGGGCAGGACATGAAACACTCAGAAAAATGCCCCTCACGAGGCCGATCTGAGTAGGGGAGGGGAAACGGGATAATTTAGATATTTGACACAGGAAAGATGTAACCGGTAGAAAAAAAATAAAAATAGGGAGCAAATATATCAATAACGGGTAATACTGGAAGAAATTAAGGATTCAAACTCGGAAGGTAGTAGAAATCGGGTAACTTGGGAAGTGATGGCGTTCCACAGGGGAACAATTGAAGAAAAATAGTCAGAGGAGTAGGGCTGAACAATAATTAAGTTCATAGGGCGACGAGGGGAGGAGGAGTATTTGACATGTGCATTAAGGTTAGGAAAGTAGGCGGAGCCATTTAAAAATTTATAGAGAAGAATTAGTTGAGCTTTTAGCTACGATGTCGAATAGAGAACATATTGAGGATAGAGAGACGATCAGAATAGGAACTGTACTGGATATTACAACGCTGGCAAATACACTTAGAGAAAAATCTTAAGGGAGATTCTAGTTTTAGAGCAAGGCGAGAAGAAGGCGGAGGGGAATAAACTACGGAACAGTATTCAAGAATCGGGAGAACATAACATTTGAAAATATGAATGTAGAATTCAGGAGATTTAGATCTAAATGATTTTGAGAGTTGTTTGGAACGGAGAAGAGCTAGAGATGTGATTTTGTTGATGTGAGCAGAGAATTTGAGAGAGGAATCAGTAATGAGTCCCAAGTCTCGGACGGAGGAGGAGGGAGTAAGTGTGACACCCGCAATATTGAGAGGATGGGAAGAATTATGGGAACCTAGGCGAAGAAGGGCAGTTTTAGAGTGGGCAAGAGGGAGATGGTTGGCGGTAGCCCAATTTACAACCATGTTGATACCAGTTGAAAACTCTTGTTCGAAAAGAAATGAGTTTTTGAACCTTTTTAAAAGTTTGAATTATTTTTTAAATTAAATTTTCAAATAACCCACACTGTATTTTGATTTCAATTGAGGATCCGCCTGATCACAACTGATAATTTTTTTTCTCAAGTCCTCTTTTTTCCTCTCAAAGTCTTCTTTTGCAGTTTTCATCGTACTAATTCCTGTTCCAACACTTCCAAGCACACCATACTGAATTTCTGGGTATCCGTTGTTTACGAGGCACTGAAAAATTTTTATCATTAAATTTCTGCATTTGTCGGTTATATTGCTCCTTTTTTAGAATTTTTGTAGTCGTACGATTTTTTAAAAGGAGAATAAGGAATGATTTTTCAAACATTAAAGAAACAATTTGAAACATTTTTTCAAATACTCACCTGATTACAAATCTCATTTGACGCTGTGGTTAATTGCTCAAAATGACTATTAATTTCTAACAGTTCCTTCAAGATATCCTTTTCATGCGTTTTCTGAATTTCGCTTTCTAGATTTCGAGCTTGAACTAAAATGATTTCTTGCTGGACAGCCAATAACTCGATTCGACTGGTTGATGGCTCATTATTTTCGATTTGTCGGACTACTGGAACTCCACTCATTTTTCAGATCTAAAAATTCGAAATTTTCAACGTTTAAGCTAAAATTGTGATTCTCGAAATTCTGCAAATTCAAGAATACAATTCTGAATTCTAAGAAAAACGAGGAAGAAGAAGGTCAAGAACAGGAAGGAAAATTAGGTAAGCGAACAAAAAGAGAGACGTCAGTCGAAAAAAGAAAAAAACTGGTCAACAACAAATTGTGAGAGATACGAAATAGAGAATTAGAGAAAGAGAAATGAGGAAGAATGAGGAATTTATTCGGATGGTCACTAGAGTAACGTGTCGACACAAAAATCGATACGATTCCAGTCGACCAGTCGGACTATTGAAGTCGATAAAAATCGTGTCGACTGACACCAGAAACGACACAATATCGACACAGAGTCGACACAACACGACTCTGTGTCGACACCACCTTGAGTCGACTCTGAGTCGTGTCGTGTCGACTCTGTCGTGTCGATACGAGTCGACTCGACGCTGGTCTCTTTTCCGAGAGGACTACGCGAGGGCGCGGACCCTCGTGTATAAACTGAGTTTTAAACTCGGTTTTGCAGCATTTTTACAGTGTCCGAATAGAAGGAAAAAGGCCATTCAGCGAAAGTATGTAATTTTGAACGAAAAAATTATTCTGGGAAAAATCATTAGTACCGACTTGTTTTCCCTAGATAACCCAAAAATGGCGTCATGTTCAAAAAATTTAAATAGGACAAGCAACAACAAAAACATTGGATCTAAAGTTAAGTGCCCGACTTCTTATACAGAATAGTAGTGTTGGAAATTCCTCAAGCTTATCAAAAATGTCAATCAAGGGAATTTTCTTTTGCTCACTTCAAAATTTCCTCACTAATAATAACTTTCGGATTTTTACCGTTCCTCAGTTCCCTCCCTCAATAGAAAAATTATCATTCTTTAAATTCTCTGATTTTCCTATTTTTCAAATTATCCCTTCTTCTTCTCGTCACTGTTTCTCCTTTTTTGTCGTCGGCTAGCGAAAAAAGATTCTTCTTTTTTTTTTTGACAAGATGATTCTTTTTCTCTGTCGTTTTTTTCTCTTCTTCTTCTATCACCTACACCTTCTTTCTCTCATTTTCCATCATCTTTTAAATTTTTCTCTTCTAAATGAGAATTCCAGTATTTTCATTTATTCTAATTTTTTGTATTCGAACCGGAAATTCTTGTAAGTAGCCAAACAAAAAGTTAGTGAAAATCCGCGCTAAATCTGATTAGCAGGAGAAGATGAAGACGTTGAGCGGGTGCAAGTGATAGAAGTTCGAAATGACGCAATCAGAATTGTGTGGACAGTGGATTCTGAAGAAGTTGAAGAGAAGGAGATATCCAAACAGCGGTTGATTGTAGCGGTTATGAGAAGTATAGGAGTTAATCGATATTTGTTATTTTTGTTAGTGTTTTTAGGTTCTCAAGAAACTGAGAAATCGTCACAAACTGTTATGGTTGATGCAAAGCTTCGAGACTACACTTTTGTTGGATTAGCTGGAAATACGACTTACCGAATTTCAGTGGAGGGATTTAATGTGAGATATGATAGTCTTCCGATATGGATGTTTTCTTGTGAATCGATTTAGTCCTTCGATGCTTTTTGATTCGAAATTCGGTGCCTAGATTCTTGAGCTTCCCAAAACACCAATGTTCAAAGTCAAAGTTCTTGATAACTTTTAAATTCTTTCGATTTGAGTGGTGATCTTCTTGGTCAGTTGGATCAAGGATTCCGTATAACCAATATTCCAAAATATGTCGTCTCTTTAGATTTGACAGCTTGACAATGTTACGGTTCTCATAGAACCACGATTTGTGATCACGATGAATAAAAGCAGCTTCTGAAAATTTAAAATTAATCGACATAATGAGACTTTGTTAAAGGGGGACTCCGACCAAAAATTTTTATTGCATTAAAATGTGTTAAAAGTTGTCTATTTTCCGAATATTATTGCGAAAAAATTTTTAAAAAATCCGAAATTCCCGAAAAACGCCGTTGAAAAGGAAGAAAATTCAAAAAAAGGTGCCGCCGGAGGACGAGGATTTTCAGTGAGAAACCTAGGCCACGACAGCGGGCGCCTTTCCTACGTGACAAATTTTCTGGATTTTTTTTCAATTTCATGTCCGGCAGGTAAAAAACGTAAAAAACCACTGTCGGCGACTTAAAAAAAGGCTGTCAGGTGCCGTGGCCTAGGTTTTTCTCTGAAAATCCTCGTCCTCCGGCGGCACTTTTTACGAATTTTCCTCCTTTCCAACGCCGTTTTTCGGGGATTTCGGATTTTCTTTGAATTTTTTTGCAATAATATTTGAAAAACAAATACATTTTAACACATTTTAATGCAAAAAATTTTTGGTCGGAGTCCCCTTTAAGAAAAATGTCCGTAAAGTTTGAACCAAATTATCTAGGCTCCTATGCAAGATATCAAAAAGTGGTCAACTGATAAAATGTTTGTGATATCATGATAAACAATTTATTAGTTGACAACTTTTTTCTATCTTTTACAGGAACCGAGAAACATTGGTTCAAAATTGAGAGCTAGAGGGCTCTTCTATTACAGGTTTAACGGTATTTGAATATGCATGAGGATGATAATGGTGTTTTAAAAAATGTCATCGTTTGATGATTTTTTAGAATCATGACAAACCGAATTTTCATAATTATGTGTATTTCAGAATGATACAAGTCTCTGGTATTCTTCAAATATGGCAACTACCAGTCTTGCGGGTGAGAATTAAGGGATTTTTTAAACTAACTGTTGAAGTTGTACGAAAACTGAGAAAAAATCGATAAGAAATTTGGTTGTGGAGAAAAGCCTAGCAAATGAAGTGGCTGATAAGAGAAAGAAGTGATACACATGAAAGAGAGCTTTAGAGTCAGAAAACAATTCAAAAACGTGAAAAAAAAAGAAAAAAACAATTGAAAAAATTTTTTTGAAGCTTCAGAAAATTATGACCTATTTGAACATACGTTTTAACATACGTCATACTAAGGAAACGGAGGAAAAGATGACAATAACTAAACAGAAGTCATGGGATTAGGATGACTAATATAATGATTTTGAAAAGTTCGCGAAACTTCTTTCCATCACTTTTCGCATGTTTTTAATTCGTTGTCTTGTCTATCTACATTCTTTCCGAAATTTTTCTAAATTTGTAGCTCCTATTAATCTACCTAAATCCAGTAAAAATATATAGTTGGGGCAGTACGAAAACATCATTGCTAAGTGTAAAATGTCTCTTCCTCTTTTCTCTTGTTCTTTTTTTCTCTGATTCTCTTATTCTAAAGCCAAAGACGCATTGTGTTTACCGACAGAAATGAGGGCGGGATTTCGAAAGTATGTATTATTGGAAACTTTTTTCATATTTCGATTAGCTTCATTAAAATTTAATTCGGAATGATGATGATTCGGAAGAATCCAGCGAAGAGAACATAGACGATGAGGATGATGGCAACAACAACAATTCATTCAATCCAGCCAATACTGCCAGTTCTTCTTCGGCCGTTCCAAGCGTCCCTCCACCCATTCCAATCAATTCATTTAGTTCTCCGCCTGTTTTGAGCGCCTCTCCGCACCCTTGATCAACTCCCATAGTTCTCCTTCGTCCGTTCCTAGTGCCTCTCCGATCTCTCCCATCAGTCCACCTAGCCCAAACAATTCATAATTAATTTTTAAACTTTTTCGGTCAAATGTAATTCGGGTTCATTTTTCGGTTAAATTTGTATTTTATTATACTGGTGTTTTGCAATAAATCTAAATTCAACTCAATTTTTCATTTTCTTCTCGCATTTTCTAACTTTTTTCTAAATAAAACAAAAAAAAAAGTTCAATATCTTAAATAAATTACTGTTCAAAAGAGCGCGTTGAAAATGAAGTGTCGTGTCGTGTCGACACGAGTCGATACAGTATCGACATGAATCGACGCGACACGCGAGTCGACACGACACGAGTCGACTCGAGTCGACGCGACACGCGAGTCGACACGACACGAGTCGACTCGAGTCGACACAAGTCGACACAAGTCGACTCTGTGTCGACTTGCGTCGATACGATTTTTCAGATATTTTTCACTTGTGTCGATACGACTCTGTGTCGACACGTTACTCTAATGGTCACTACATATGTCATGATATTGTAATTTTTTATGATTTTCTGATTTTATATTCTCAAAAAACAATTCATTTACTCAAAAATGTGATTTCAATAACGCTCTACATTAATTTTTATCTATGTACCTTTCATATAAAACGCTAGCTGGACCCGTCTGAAAAAAATGAGGAGCGGAAGTGACGAACCAGTAACATACTAGATCAAATCGCGCCGAAGTCGCCCCAGCCAACTGATCAATGAGCCGTAGGCGCGGCAAATAGATGGCTGGTATTAGAGCATAATATCAATTAGATAATTTTCAAAAACATATTTCAAACTGATTGTTTTTTTTTCAAATTTTCAAATTGCAAACGTGAATTTTCGAAATATATTTTTCTCAAATTTTCCAACAAAATCTTGCCAAAATCATCTTCATTTCAAGGAGGTCAATCAAGAAACACAACAAGATAATTTTCACAAAAAAAGAACTACAAAATACCTAAAAACTGATGTCTGGCTTGCCCGTCGTGTCAACTCGTCTTGGAAAATGTTTGATTGTTCGAAATGCCTTAACAAATTCTGCAAGTGGTAGCACAGTACACTCTACGTTGTGCAGCGGTGTAGAACGTGTTGGTGCAGAATCCATTAGTAGCCCATGCACTGCACGAGGCACTCGTGTCGGCGATGAACGAGGTGCAGGTGCCAGTTCCTGTCGAAGCGGCAGTGGTGGTTCCACATCTTTGGCAGGTTCGTTGGCAGTACTGGTTAACGAAATCTTGCATGCCGACGGCGTTACAGATGGAGATGTCGTTGCCACAGTCCATGACTCCATCGACACATCCTCCATCGTTACAGAATCCACAGGCTGATGGGCAGTCGGCAGCAATGATGGTACGCCATGTGGCGGAGGTGCATTGGGAGGCAGTGATGGTCTCGCATCTCAGGCGTGGGACTGAAAATTAACTTTGTTGAGGCCGTAAGAAGTTGGAAGGTCCAGATTGTATGCCCAAAAGATAAGTAAGGTCTCAAAGTTTAAAGTTCCGGTTCGTAAAAATCCCATGAGAAGCTGAGCTTGCTAGTGGTGTTAGCGGCACTGTTGAGCTACGCTGTGGCAAAGAGTAGACTTCTAACCAATGACCTATAGTAGCACGGCATCATGTTACCGCCAATCTACCCTTTTTACAACCTTATTATCTTTAGAGATGGGTTATTGGCCTTGTTCTTGGTTTCGTAGGGCCCTAAGCCACTAATATAAGCCCGTGAAGTTGTTATGGTCCATATGTCTAGGTCCAAGCAGTCTCAAGTTCAACAAGTTTTGTCATCGTAAACTCGTCGCCTAGTGATGTCATACGGTCCTTGAGGTCCTAAACTTGTCAGGCCAATAGGTCCGTAGGGTGCTAAATTCATAAAGTAGATAAGGTCGACGAGCTCATCCTGCCCTATGGATCCTCAGGTCAGGCCCTTACAAAAGTGGACCAGTAAACTTATGTGGTCTAGAGATCAAGGATGATTCTAATGTCTGTAACCTACGGTTTAGAGGATCGAGGACTGTGAACTCGTAAGCTACATAAAATTCTACGATTTTGAGATCACAAGCTCAAAAGCTATGCAACTCACAATTAACATTTCTGCAGTTATAGGCGCTAGTCTGGCAGCAATATCCACACGATTTTGGGCACGAATCCAACGCAGCTTTCTTCATATCAGCACTGAATGCTCCAGTATTGGCACCCTCCGTGGTATAACAGTTGAATGGACGCTCGACATCATTTCCAGGAGCTGGAAACTCTCCATCAGTCACGGGAGCATAGAGCACATTACACGAAGCGTCAGAGATTGTGTTACTGCAGACCGTGGCGCTTGGTGAGTAGCCGAACTGCAAACGTTTGAAATTTAAAGGTGTTCTAGAATTTTGAGGATTACTGTAATAGTTCCATCGCCGACGTAAGTGGTGCAATTGAGATCACCAAGGATTTCAGCGGAGGCTGCGGAGATTAGAAAGACGAGAAGAGCAATCATTTTTTTGTGGCGGGCAGGCCAGTGAAGTGAGGATTCTTGGTTAAGGAGCCTCTTTTATACTGAAGTTGAGGTACTCTGAACTATACTTGTGAAGTATTCTCTCAATTCTTTTGTTTATACAGATGCCAATTTTTGATACAATATCGAAACCGTTATTAGTTTGAACATAACTATCGAAAGTTGGTTTTTTTCTTTTCCATTTTAGAGTCTAAACTGTAGCGGGATTGTTGTTTCAGCTGCTACTGTGATTTATGATGGCGGTTTTGGATTTTGTATTTGTTTTCAGATTTTTGAAATTAACAGGTTTAGGATCTGTGATCTTCATATATTCTTAATGTCCAGGAGTAATGGTTCAAAAATCAGGAATTCGAAAAATTTCATGAAACTCATATCTTCTAAGAATTCTGAATTCCCTGAATTCCATGAAATTCAGAAAATCGGAAGTTCAAAAATTTGTAAATTCATGAATTCGGAAACTCCAAAACTTCTGGATATTCTGAAATCGGAACCCCAAAAAAAACAGGATTTCCAATATTTTGAAATTAACTTTTTTTTAAAATTAGAAATAAGAAATATCTGAAATTCTTAGAATTCGGAAATTCATAGGATTCTGAAGTTCTGAGAGTTCTGAAGTTTCTGAGAGTTCTGAAATTCCGAGAATTCTGAAATTCTGAGAATTCTTGATTCTTGAATTTCTGTAATTCTCAAAATACAGTACTGGCCAAAAAGGTATTCGCAAACGGTTTTTTGAGAGTAACTTTGCTGAAACTTAAGGGATCGATCTGAAAATTTTACTGTGCATGTCGTACACGGTGACGACAAATTGCGTACAAGGAAATTGCATCATTTTCAGAAATTTTTTGTTTTTTTCAATTTTTTCAATTTTTTCGTTTTTTCACTTTTTTCATATTTTTATATTTTTGGATATTATGGTTTCTAAGAATGTTGGTTTTGGCTCCTATGTATTTAAAACTGTTTACAGACATGGCCAGACCCCTCGGAAAAAAAAACATCTCTCAGGACATCCGTAAAGCCATCGTCATCGGCTTCAGAAGTGGATGTTCCAAGGACCTCTTGGCGCAGCAGTTCAATGTTACTAAACGTGCCATCGAGAAGATCTTGAAGCAGTTTCGGGATGAGGTAATATTCAAAAATAGTATAGTTATGGAAAAAAATGTTTAGGGAGCCTTGGTGGAGCGAAAATCGCCTGGAAGACCGCGTATCACGTCGAAGAACATGGATCGGAACATCGTTTCAAGAGAGGATCCCCAGAGGAGTTCTACGGACATTCAGATGGTCGTGAAGACTCCAAATGAAGTCACACCATCCCTGAGAACCGTCAGAAGACGTCTTCAAGATGCTGGACTCCATGGACGACGGCCAGCTAAGAAACCATCGATCAGCAAGAAGAACAGAATCGCCCGCGTAGCATGGGCCAGAGCTCATCTCCACTGGGGACGTCAGGATTGGGCTAATCACGTGTTCAGCGACGAATCCAAGTTCAATCTGTTCGGTACTGACGGTATCAAGTGGATTCGCCGTCCGGTTGGATGTCGGTTCGATCCCAGCTACCAGCTCCAAACCGTCAAGCATGGAGGTGGATCGGTGATGGTCTGGGGCTGCTTCTCTGGGACTTCAATCGGCCCGCTGAGAAGAATTAGAAGCATCATGGATCGCTTTGTGTATGAAGACATCTTGGAGAACACAATGAGACCCTGGGCAAGGTCTACTGTGGGCCGGGCGTTCGTTTTCCAACAGGATAACGACCCGAAGCACACCTCGAAGCACATCAAGGAGTGGTTCCGACGCCGCCACGTGGATCTTCTGGACTGGCCAAGTCAATCTCCGGACTTGAATCCGATCGAACACCTCTGGGAGCATGTCGAGAGACAGCTTAGAGGGGTTCGTGCCTCGAATGCCAACCAGAAGTTCGACCAACTCCAAGATGTCTGGCAGGCCATCCCGATGTCTGTCATCGACACCCTTCTCGACTCGATGCCAAGAAGATGTCAAACGGTAATCGACGCCAAAGGCTTCCCAACGAAGTACTAAAGCTATTTTATTCATTTTCTATTATTATTTTTCGTTTACCGGTCTATCCTAGATCTCAGAAGTCAAAGTTCCATTTACCGGTTTTTTGCAATTTTCATGAATTTTTCGATTTTTTTTCAATTTTTTGAAATTTTGACTATTCTTGTTGTTGAATCAGTTTCTTTTACCGTTTTAAACTTTGTCTTAAAATATCAGATCGATCCCTTAAGTTTCAGAAAAGTTATGCTCGAAAAACTATTTGCGAATGCCTTTTTGGCCAGTACTGTACCAGCAATAGCCGGAAATTTCAAAATTTAGAGTTTCAGAAACTCCGAAATTCCATAGATTCCAAAAAACTTTCCAAAAAAAACCTCAGAATTTCTGAAATTTCTTAAAATTGTACTTTTTTCTCCAAAAAAATTTCAGGAAATTCCAAAAATTCAGAAGTTCCAAAAAAAATACGGATCACCAAGATAAGGGTATTCTGAAATTGAACAATTCCGAAAATCTAAAAATTAAGACGTTCAAGGAATTCTAGCTATTCACTTTTTCTTCGTAAAATTCCCTTATTTTTTATTCAATCTTTTTTTCCTTGTTTCTCAGATCCATCAATTTCCTTTGTTTTCTGTTCAGCTTCAATTTCCAGACCATCTACAGTATGATCAAGTAATAAAATCCCGTGCGAAACCTGAACAAACAATGTGTGGGCGCAAAATTTTGGAAATTAGTTTGTTCATTACAAGCTCATTGTATTTGAGCACAAATCATTTTACTACTGTAGTCCAAAATAAATTTTTAAAGAATTTCATTTAGAAAGTTAAGTTTGAAAATAAAATTATTAAATTTTATTGAAGTCCGTAAAAAATGAAATGAATTATCATGAATAGAATCAACCATATCTATAGTAATTAACACTTTCAAAGTACAAATTTTGGCTTAAATCAATTTCCATCATTTCTCGATTTGTTCCAGGAATCGGGAAGTACCAAAGTCTTCTAGTTCCAAACGTATTCCGTGGTGGGCCAAAGAAATCATTGAGTTGTGGATCTTCGACAAATGTTTTGAAACAGATTATGAATCTTTTGAGCTTCGGAGTAAGAAGATTCTGAAAATCGAATTTTAAGCTTTAAGAACACTTTCAACATCAATTACCTCTTTCAAGAAAATTATATCATTGGAAGTGATTCGAGCCACTGTAGTAATATAGATTTTTGAAAGATTTGTCAAATTCATTTTTTGAATCGGAGTAGAAATTCTTTCACTTTTAACTTCCAATTCTTTCAAATTTTTCCATTGCTCAGTCTTTGCCATTTCCTCAATATCATATGGAATTTTCAACGCATCGGGGTAGTTCCTTCTATTGTAAAGCCTCAAATACTCATAATGTGGATCATTGATTTCCAGTTTTTCCAGATATTTCGGATCCAAATATGGTAGAACTTGCATGACGTCTTCTGCTCTCACACTGAACAAATCCAACTTTTTGACCTTTAAAAGTCCTGATCTTCTCTTCAGATCTCTTTGAATCCAGCCAAGAATTTAGAAGTCATCGGATTCAACCTCTCAGGAATTAAAGTCCTCAAAGGTTCATTTGGCTCTCCAGTCAAGTTATAATATGAGAAAAAGAGTCTTAATTCTTCCAGACACGTCTTCTGATGTTTTGTGATCGTTTCAAAATCAGCCAAAACTTTCGAAACTATATCTTTGGAATCCTCGGTTCTCTCATATAAAATACTTTTACAATTCCGATATCCGGAAACTCGAACATTCGCGGAAATGCTTTCATCGGTTTTCATGTAAATTCCATAGATTCCAATTTGTGGATCCGGCTTCAGATGATCCACACAGCTTCTAATCCCATTACACGTTTTTCGAAGGCTTTGACTGAAAATATTGAATTTTCGGAACCTGAAAATTTGAAAAATTCGAAAAACTTACATGTCGAATGCTTTGAAATATTTCAAAACATTTCCCATGACCAATGGATTTCCTAGAACTTTGAGTGACATTTCATTGCTCAGTTTTAGTTTCTGAAAAAATCGAGATTAGAATTTTTGATTCGATTTCCAAAATACTTACCACTAAAGATGGTGCTAATCGATTTCTAGGTGATAACTCGATTCTGATTGAATTTTCAGATAATTTTTCGAATGGAACGTCGAAAAATTCACATGGATCATATTTATTATAGTTGTCGTAAAATATATCAATTTGACGGAATGTGGACCAATAATAGAGCAGCTGAAAAATAAGTTTCTTAAATATTCATGAATTTCAAAACTAACCTTGTTAATCGATTTCAAGTTTTCCAAATAAATATTTTTAAACTTCAAAGCCAAAATTAATAAACCACTTCTTTTCCAGTTTTCTAAAAATTTGAATCCCTCAATATCGAATTCCTCATCAATTCTCAGAATGACTTTTTTGAGACTATATGAATTCAAATATTGGAAAATTGGAGCCAATTGGTGTGTATCCGAAACATCCAAAAATATCCTTCTGACTTGGAGTAACGAAATTCTAGATTTCAAGGAGTCCTGTAGAATTTTCATTTTCAAATCTGCCAGTTCAAATTTGAATACACGAAGTGGAGTTTCCTGATTGACCAAAAAATCCTTTAGAAATTCCTCAAATTCTTCTGGTTCAAAAAATTCCAAAGTCGCATTTTCATACGGTTTTTCGAAATGAAGTTTTGCACGAATTTTGGAATTTTCCTCCGAAATTTCAATAGCAGTGGTTGGCCGATTTGGCAAAGTTCGCAGTCGAGACATCTGGAATTTCCGATGTTTAGAATACTAAAAAACAAAGAAAAAAAGTTTTTCTTTTTAAAAGAAGTTCCTGCAAAAGGGAGACAAAAAACCAGAAATCACGGAAGATAACGGAAAAGTGACAAAGTGGCGGAATATTTTTATTGGAGAGAGAGAGAGAGAGAGAGAGAGAGAGAGAGAGAGAGAGAAAGAGAGAGAGAGAGAGAGAGAGAGAGAGAGAGAGAAAGAGCGAGAGAGAGAGAGAGAGAGAGAGAGAGAGGGAGATGCAAACATTTATGATAATAAAAGAATCATTTCCGTTGAATTTCAGGGTGTTATAAAAAAAAATAAAACTACATTTCTTGGTACGATGCACGATGATAAGTACGATGATTAGAAATTCAATTTAAGCAAGTTATATTTCCCAATAGAGAAAATAAGAGTGAGCAATTTGAACCGGAAATCAGCAATTAACGTTGTCATCTATTTTCTATATAAACATGTATGTATATACTTTTGTCAGGCTTATCAATTTTTCGGGTCGCGGAAAGTTTGCGGAAAGACAGCGTTTTCCGTTTTGTCGTTGTATCACCTATGTATTATATAATTGCCTCCGGGAAGCGGGCATTACACTATACAACGACAAGAACCAATGATAAAATCCAAGAAAAATAAATCTATATACTTAACACAAACCTAATTTCTGATATTGTACCGAATAGCGACATTTGGAAATTTTAAATTTCCAATTTTCTGAAAAAGGCATTCCGAAATTCGTAAAGTAAAGCTAGTTTTGGAGAATGCTCTTTAGAGAAGGCGGGGGAAAAAGCTACGAAATGAGAATAAATGAACTCTAGTGAGAGTGTGAGAGAGAGAGAGAGAGAGAGAGAGAGGGTTCCAAAGACCTCCGCTTCGAAATATACATATTCTCCCATGAAACTGAAGTGGAATGTTTGTTCCCGCTAATCTTTCTCTAAATCTCTGCGTCTTGCATTCTATCCTATCTCTCACCGCGTTCTCTCAGTCCAACTGAACAAATCGGTAGTTTACAACTTTACAATTTTTACAGTCAAACTCGAAATTACGAAAAAAAAAGAATTTTGTTAAACTATCAAAAAATAATCTAAAACATTACCGCCCATGGGGAGTTGTACATTTCTCAAACGTTTTCAAAATTTGAAATTAAAAAATCACAAATCTTATGTAAATGTTTGTGCCAACCAACCCAAACAATGAAACAAAGAGAATTAATAGTTATTTTTTTGATATGAAAGATAATCAATGTAACGTTTTTGCCTATTTAAACAAACCTAAAAGCGGAGGTGTCATCTTTTACTGAAAAATGCTGAAATTATTTTTTTCTATTTCCATTTTGTTTCTCGTGGCTCACGGAGCGATTGAGCTGGGATGTAGTAGTCCACCTCTGCCAAGATCGAATGGTGGATGTCCCCCAGGATTCACAAATGTCACTGATGGATGTTGTCTGGATTCTGACACATACAGTAAGATTTTAAGGGAAAATAGTCAACTTTGAAGTCTTTAACAAATGTCCATCAAACAAAAAGTTTCAGTCGTCACTCCATCCACCACACCAACTCCAACTACAGTAACCACCGCTCGACCTTGCCAAGATAAGATTAATCCCGCGACTGGAACAAGTGACTGTCCAAAACGAGCATATTTGTGCACGGATCCAAATTATAAAAAAGTGATGAAAGATCAGTGTGCAAAAACATGTGGCTACTGTACAACTGGACCAACTACGACAGCGCCAAAGTGTTCGGATAAAATTAATCCGAATACTGGAACGAGTGATTGTCGGAAGAAAAAGTACTTGTGTACGGATCCAACGTACAAACGATTGATGAAGGAGCAGTGTCCGGAGACATGTGGATGTTGCTAATTTGGTCATTTATCTTGTGAAAATGTATATAAATTTCCTTCACCATATTAGTATCAAATTATTTTGTCGTTTTAAAATTAATATCAATAAAATATATTCTTCCCAGAAGCTCAATCTTTTTTTTTGTGTTCAGATTCGTTTTTACTCTTCTTATTTTTCTAATTTCGAACAACAAAAGCAATACCAAAAAATTAAAAATTGAAAAATAAGTTTAGAAAATGACTTTTGCAAGATTTAGAAGCAAACGTAGTGAGTTAGAGACAAATTATCAAACACTTGATTTTTCCTTCAAATGTCTGCGTTTCTCAATTTATTTCTCTCGCTCGCACACAATTGAAAATTACTCCACTATTACGTTATCTTTCATGATTTTTGATTTTTTCTTTAAAACTACTTACAAAATGTTTTCTAGTACCAAAATCATGAAAATTCCAGATGTCTCAACTCCAAACTTTACCAAATCGTCCTGTCACTTCTATAGAAATCTCAGAAGAAAGTTCCACAATCCGGGCAAAACTTCATTTTGAAAAGCCTTATGAAAATGTGACAAGGGAATATTTGGAATCATACGAATTTAAGGAATTCCTGAAGGATTTTCTTTTGAATCAGGAAACTCCTCTGCGTCTTATTAGGTTTGAACTGCAAAATTTGAAAATTTTAGAAGAATCCTTAAAATCTAGAACTTCATTGCTCCAAGTCAGAAGAATATATTTGGATGTTTCGGATACTTTTCAGCTGGCTCAAATTTTCCAATATTTAAATTCATATATTCTTAAAAAAGTGATTCTGAGAATTGATGAGAGATTCGATGTCGAGGGATTCAAAATTTTGGAAAACTGGAAAAGAAGTGGTTTATTAATTCTGGCTTTAAACATTGAAACTATATCTTTGAAAATTTTGGAATCAGTTAACAAGGTTAGTTTCATAAAAAAGAAAATTCCAAAGAAAATATTTTCAGCTTCTTTTTTATTGGTCCACATTCCGCCAAATTGATATTTTCTACGATAACTTTGAATATGATCCATGCAAATTTTTTGATGTCCCTTTTGAAAAATTATCTGAAAATTCAATCAGAATCGAGTTAACCATTGGGAATCGATTGAGACCATCTCTAGTGGTATGTATTTTGAAAATCTAATCAAAAATTCTAATTTTGATTTTTCAGAAACTAAAACTGACCAATGAAATATCTTTGAAAGTTCTAGGAAATCCGTTGGTCATGGGGAGAGTTCTTAACCATTTCAAAGTGTTTGATATGTAAGATTCCTTTTTTCTTAAAATTTCGAAAAATTTAAGATTTTGAAAAATCAATGTTTTCAGTCAAAGTCTCCGAAAAACGTGTCATGGAATTAGAAGCTGTGTGGATTTTTTGAAGCCGGACCCAGAAATTGAAAAATATGCAATTGACATGAGAACGGATAGAAACAGTTCTGCGAATATTGAACTTCAAGGGTATCGAAATTCCAAGTCTATTCCATATAAGAAAACCGACGAATCTCAAACTTTTATCCCAAGAATTTTAGCCGATTTTGAAACAAATTTGAAATATCAGAAGACGTGTTTGGAAGATTTGAAATTGTTTTTTAACGATTCGACTGGAAGACAAAGCGAAACTCGTAAATTCTTGGATGGATTCAAACTAATTCTGATGAGAAGACCAGAATTTTTGAAAGTCAAAAAGTTGGAATTGTATAGTGTGAGAGCAGAAGACGTCATGCAAATTCTACCATATTCGGATCCAAAATCTCTGGAAAATTTGGAAATTAGCAATCCATATTATGGAACTTCGAGACTTTTTATGCCGAAATCTGTTCCATTTGATATTGAGGAAATTGCGAAAACTGAGCAATGGAAAAATTCAAAAGAATTGTATGTGAAAACAGACGAAATTTCTACTCCAATTCATAAAATGAATTTAAATAATTTTTCAAAAATCTTCATGGTATCAGTGGCTCGAATCTGTTCTGAAGACATTGCTTATTTGAAAAATGTAATTTGAAAAACTAAAAGAAAAAGAAAATTAATTTTCAAATTCTATTTTCAGAATCTTCTTACTCCGAAACTTCGAAGATTTATAATCTGTTTTAAAGAATTTGTTGAAGATCCACAACTCACTGCTTTACTCGGTCAACCACGGACTATTACAAGACATGAAAGAAGTTGGAATTTTCCAATTCCTGGAACAAATGGAAAAATGATGATAATTGTTTTAAATGAAAGGTTATGTATCGAAAATCGTTGAGAAATTGTATCGTTCTCAATTTATTTTGTTTTCAATAAATTATTTTTTTGGTTATTTTTTTTAGCATTTTAGCATCTTTTTCATTTTTTGCATCCTTGTTCGCAGAAATTGAATAGGATTAGAATTCGAAATCCCAAAAAAGAATTCGTTAAGAATTCGAAATCCCAAAAAGAGTTCGTTAAGAATTCGAAATCTCAAAAATCTCAATTTGCAAAAATTTCTAGAAATACAAAAATGGTGAATATTTATTTTTGAACCACTTTCTGCATTTTTGCGACAGCTCATATGCCTGATTCATTTGTTTGCTTGTCATGAATTTTTCAGTTTGTTTCTCTGTTTCTCTTCGTCTTTCAAAAAAAATCTATTACTTTTTATTTTTTCTTTCATTTCCTTTTCTGCTGAAAAATATGGAAAGTTTCTGGCAGTATCTATCTGAAATATTCCGAATTTTGGTTATTCAAAAATTGGATTTCAAATCTAGGTCAGTTATTTGAATGTTATATTTCGCAATATTTCTCAAGATTTTTTTTTTCCAGATGTTGTCTTCGAAAATGCTCTAAAAGTGACCGAAATTTTGTGGATGCAATTCCTGTATTTTTGGAATCTCTGACAGTGAAATTAGGGTTCAATAATACTGCTCGGCTGAAATTCAAAGAAGCGGATGACTCGGAAAATCCGAAATTTCATCCGAGCTCTCAAATTATTGAAGATATCATTTTGATTTTTAAAAATCAAAAATCGAAAGCGCAAACTTTGAAAATTGAAGGATTTTTTAGAAACCATGATCCTTTGACAAGAATTTTTTTGGAAGAATTGATAGCTGAAATTCAAGAGAATGGCTTAAAATTGAACACGACCCATTTAATTTTTTGGATTGGAAGTTTCAATAACGATGAAATTTTTGTGGAACTTGTCAAAATGCTGAATCCGAAAACTTTGGAAAAAATTTCAGTTTGTCATGGAACTTCGAGAAAAGGAATGGAGATTTTAGTGGAAACTGAGCAATGGAGAAGTTTGAAAAAATTTTCATTCGGAGAAATAGAAAATGTAGATGTGAATTGGCTTCTGAATTTGGAGAGGATTCGATTTTCTGTGGGGAAATTTTTAGTTGAAGATATTTGGATTCTGGTTCAGGTTAGATTTTTTCTAGTGTTTTTTTTTCCAAAATTTAAAACATTGAAATTACAACAGTTTTGGTCTTTTAAAATTTCCTGGAATTTCAATTTTCTACTTGAACATTTTTTTGCGTATTAACGTTTAAGAATTCCTAATAATGCAAAAAATTCGAATATTGTTTTTTTTTTCAGAACTTCCTCAACAAAAATTATCCTATTCAATCCTATGTTGATATATATTTGACAGAAAACGCAGATGTGAATAACATGTTAATGTTTCTGGAAGAGCAAAACGTCATTGTGAAAAATGAGCCAATTTCCGAAAGGTTAGTTTTTAATGAACTCCTGATTTTGAATTACTTTTTCTAGATTCCTGTAATAGATACCTGAAGGTGGTTGATTGATAAAATGTTACTGATAACTTGATAGACATTTTTTCAGTTGAGCACTTTTCGATATCTTTTACAGGAATCGATATTTTTTGATTTTCAGAGACGCCAACACCTACATTCATACTCAACGATTTACATTTCCTAATGAGGATAAGATATTGCTTTTGAAAATGAATCACTGGAAAATTTATGGGTTCGTTGGAAGATCGAGCAGATATAACTAATTGTGAAGTAATGTAAATAAATCTTATTCAATCAGTTTTAACTTTCTTATAATCACAAATACACCTGAAAATCAGAAAAATAGAGAGCGCTGAGATAAGAAAAAGCATTGTTAAAATAAAATAAATATCCAGAAAAGTTTTTTGGAAATAATTCAGCTTTCTGGCATATGGGTCCATTTGTGGGAAGGGTCCAAATCTGAAAATACAACTTTCAATTTTACAGTTTCGAAGAAAAGTATGTTACCTTGCCACAAACTCAGTGTACTTCAACACTATCTCCTTCGGATTCGTTGGTTGATTTTTCAACATCTCAGCTAGTTGAATAGCATTTTTCGTGTACTTTTCTTCGTATTGCTTTCCCAATTTTCTCCTCATCTGCCAATTCCTTCTTATGAAGTACAATAACCGATTCATGTCAAGCTAACATATTTGCATTTCTAGTTTGGTCTCTAAATATTGGAACCATGATTGCTGGCTTTCCAAGATGAGCCAATTCATTTGTACTTTCCAATCCACCATGCGTCAGGAATCCAGAGAGTCGGGCGTCTGCGAGAAGAGACGTTTGAGGGACCCATTTCGAGAAATGAATATTTTCAGTTGATTGGGCGAATTCGAGATCTTCAGACTCATATTTCCAAATGAATGTTACGTTGGGCATTGATCTTATTGTCGCGAGAATGCAATATCTGAAATGTAGTGCTTAATAAGGGCTGATGATGGACAGATGATCAATTGCCCAATTTGTGGACCAACTCACTTCCAAGTCTCTGGCATTCCGGCTGAACGCATTATGAAACTAAATGAAATCATCATCGTTTTCTCTCTTCTCCCGAAAACTTCCTCCCATTCCTTATTCAATTTCTCTCCACTGATTTTCTCCAAATCTACCGTAATCCCTCCGACTGGAATTGTCTTCTGAATCGTGGCACGTGGATAATCGATGAATGGAATTGAGTTGGTGAAGTATACAAAGAAGCAGAAGACATCAACTCCTTCCAATCCGGAATTTTCGCTCCAAATGCTTTCTGATAAGCTCGTTTTTCGGCTTCAAATAGTTTGTGAAAATTATTTCTAGTCTCGGCCGCTTCTGACTTAAATCGGGACCGTCTAGGAGTTAAACTAACTAAAGATGTGATAACTGTGGACCAGGACAAGGAAATGAAGAGGAAAATGGTACCAAGAGGATCGAGTAGTAACCCATTATGGAAGCTGGAAATTAATTCTGGGAATATTGGAAAGGTTTTTTGTCTTTTTTTTTAATTCTGGAATTCTGTCATTCCAGATGTTCTCCTGGTTCATTGACACTATGATCTTACCTTGCGAGAACTTCTTGAGAAACAAAGACATTCTAGAAGAAATTAAAACCCGAAAATTCGATGTTGCAATCGCTGAGCCCTTCACTGTTTGTAGTTTGGCACTATTTGAAATGCTGGGAATCAAAAAGACTATACTGGTGTCATCCTGTACACATATAGATTTGATATTGCCCCATATTGGAGAGCCAGAGGATTTTAGTTGAGTCCCATGTGAGATGTTTCAGAGATTGACGTTTTCGCGCTGTCATCGATCGGAAGGGTGACCGAGTGGAGCAACACTAGGTGATAATTACTTTTTATTACATTGATACACCCTGTAAAGTTTCATGTTTCTCTGGCTTTTAGTTTTCGAGTTACGTCATCTCAAACTATTGCGGGTAATTAACAGCCACCCTGTAGAGAATTTCAAAAGTTTTTCTATTTTATAGAATTTCCCGAAAACTACATATAAATAGTCGGAAAATTGAAACTATCGTAAAGGTTTGTTATTTTTTGTCTTTTTCGATTTTTTCTTCAAATTAATTGTCTCCGCAAACATTTTTTTTTTGAAAATCAAAGAACAAAAGACCAGTCTAGATAAACACACAATGTTGTGCAATCGTCCACAATTCGTACACAGAAAATATAAAAAAGAAAAATTATTTTTTTCTATCTCTTTCTATTTCTCCTCTATTAAAGATTATTCCCGATTTCTTTTTTTTTGTCTTTGATAAAGTATTTTTGATGAAAAAATGACCCTAAACATTCTAATCCATTCCCCATCCTATGCAGCTAGCCACACAAATTTTTTGGCACGAATCGCTGACACTTTGACGGAAGCTGGGCATAATGTGGTAGATTTTTTTTACAAAATTTGAAAAAATTAAAGAAAAATCTTAACGTTCCAGACTTTTCTAGTGCCGATTGTGGCTGAAAACCATCTAGGAGTGAAAACCACTAAAGATGTGATTCTTGTGAAACCGGATGAGACAATGAAAAATGATATGGCACAAATTTTCACTGGTGAAAATGATCCATTGTGGTCCATTGAGATGAAGCCATCGAATTTGAAATCGGTGAGTTGAAACTTTGAATTTTAAATTCCCGCCCAAAATTTCGATTTCAGATGTTCTCCGCCTACGTTGATGTGATGACTTTAACAGCAGAAAATTTCATAAGAAGCAAAGAAATAATGGAAAAATTGAAGACTCGAAAATTCGATGTGGCAATTGCTGAGCCATTCACTGTTTTTGGTCTGGGATTATTTGAAAAACTTGGGATCAAAAAGACAATTCTGGTTTCTTCATGCACCCATTTTGATTTTTTACTACCCCATATCGGGGAGCCAGAGGATTTTAGTTCGGTTCCAAGTGAGTTTTTTTGGGCGTCGAAGATTTTGGGTTTTTAATATATTTTTTAAATTGAATTCTAAGATCATCAATTTGCAGCCCTTTCCAGTCAAGTTGGGGACAAAATGAGTATGCTGGAGAAATGGGACAATTATCGGTTTGCTGCTGTAAATCTTCTAGACTCTTGATCCCCATTTTTTAAAATTTTAATTCCAGGAAACAAAATCCAGTCTTGCTAAACTTTTCGACGCGGAAACCGTAGCTTACCGAAGAGCATTTGGAGCGAAAATTCCGGATTGGAAGGAGTTGATGTCTTCTGCTTCTTTGTACTTCACCAACTCAATTCCATTCATCGATTATCCACGTGTCACAATTCAGAAGACAATTCCGGTTGGAGGAATTACGGTAGATTTGGAGAAAATTCGAGGAGAGAAATTGAGTGAGGAATGGGAGGAAGTTTTGGGAAGAACAACAAAGACTATTTTGATTTCTTTTGGATCAGCAGTTCCGTCGTCGGAAATGCCAGAGGCTTGGAAGTGAGTTGTCCACAAGTTGGATCCTAATTTGATCTAAAACTTGCCCATCAATTGACCTAAGAAATTATTAAGCCCTATAATTCAGATCTGGCATCCTCGCTACGATAAAATCAATGCCCAACGTTACATTCATTTGGAAATATGAGTCTGAAGATCTCGAATTCGCCAAATCAGTTGAAAATATTCATTTCTCAAAGTGGGTCCCTCAGACAGCCCTTCTCGCAGACCCCCTTCTCTCTGGATTCATGACGCATGGTGGATTGGGAAGTACAAATGAATTGGCTCATCTTGGAAAGCCAGCAGTCATGGTTCCAATATTTGGAGATCAAACTAGAAATGCAAATATGTTAGCTAGACATGAATCGGTTATTGTACTTCATAAGAAGGATTTAGCGGATGAGGAGAAAATTGGAAAAGCAATTCATTCAATTTTATACGAAGAAAAGTACATGAAAAATGCTATTCGAGTAGCTGAGATGTTGAAAAATCAACCAACGAATCCGAAGGAGACAGTGGTGAAGTACACTGAGTTTGTGGCAAGGTAACAAACTTTTTTTGAGAAATTCAAAATTGGAAGTTGTAATTTCAGATTTGGACCCTTCCCACAAATGGACCCATACGCCAGAAAGCTGAATTATTTCCAGAAGACTTTTCTGGATATTTATTTAACTGCTACTATTGGTATCCTGGCTATCGGGGCACTTTGTGTTTTACAATTTGTAATATGATTTTGATCTTAATTATCCTGATTTTTAAAGTCCTAATCCAAAAAAATAAAAATTTTTAATATTCTCACGAAGCACAAATTTTCAGCTTTAGTTTTTCTTCGAGCAAAAATTAATGTCTTCCGGAAAATTTCAGTAAACGAATTCGATGTTTTCTGAAATATGCTGAAAAAGTTAATAGTTTTGAATTTTCCAACAATGTTATTCGAAAAAATTTTTTAAATTTCTTATTTCAAAAAAACTATAATCAGACTTTCTTTCGATAAAAATAAGTCAACGCCTGTACAAGTGAAATAGTAGAAGAATTAGACGTCATAAGATTCTCTTTTGTTTGTAGTATCACCTCAAATACTCTCTAGTCTGTTTACCTCCCTAACGTTGTGCAATCGTACACAATTCGTCAGAAAATTGTATAAAAACTGATCTAACTTTTTTTTGATAGAGTCAAAAAATGGGTTTGAACATTCTGGTTCATGCTCCAGCTTATGCAGCAAGCCACACAAATTTTCTGGCTAGAATCGCTGACACTTTGACGGAAGCTGGACATAATGTGGTTGGTTTTATTCCAATAATGTATTTCAAAAAAAATCTGAGGTTTTCAGACTTTTCTAGTGCCAATTGCTCTAGAAGTTTTCCGCAATCAACTGGGCGTCAAATCAACAAAAGACGTGATCGTTGTCGAACAAGATGAGCAATGTAAGAATGAATTGAAATTGTTGTTTCAAGGAATGAAGAGCCCATTATGGACATGGAGATGAAATCGAAGAATATTGGAAATGTAAGAATTTACAACTTAAAAAATAATCAGACCATTCAAACTTTCAGATGGTGGCTGGCTATGTGAAGATTATGATATTATGTTGTGAAAATTTTATACGAAATATGGACACAATCAAGGATCTTGAAAGCCGTCACTTCGATGTGGCAATTGCTGAGCCATTCACTGTTTTTGGACTTGGTTTATTTGAAAAATTGGGGATCAAAAAAACGATTCTGGTTTCTTCATGTACCCATTTTGATTTCATGCTTCCACATATCGGAGAGCCAGAAGATTTTAGCTCGGTTCCAAGTCAGTTTTTTTACTTTAAAATCTGAAAATCGTTATGATCCTAAAATGCTGGATTATCGTCTAATTTTTAGCGCTTTCCAGTCAAGTTGGTGAGAGAATGAATATGCTGGAGAGATGGGAGAACTATCGGCTTGTAGCGGTAAGCCTACATAGATTCTTGACCCTCCTATTTCAATTCTAATTTCAGGAGAGCAAATCCAGTCTTGCCAAACTTCTTGACTGTGAAACCGCAGCTTACCGAAGAGCATTTGGAGCGAAAATTCCGGATTGGAAGGAGTTGATGTCTTCTGCTTCTTTGTACTTCACCAACTCAATTCCATTCATCGATTATCCACGTGCCACAATTCAGAAGACAATTCCCGTTGGAGGGATTACGGTAGATTTGGAGAAAATCAGAGGAGAGAAATTGAGTGAGGAATGGGAGGAGGTTTTGAGAAGAAGAGAGAAAACAATGCTGATTTCTTTCGGATCAGCAGTCCCATCTGTGAACATGCCAGAGGTTTATAGGTGAGCGGCTTGGGCAACATGTCTGTGGTTTGGGCATGGGTATGGCAATAGAAAATTTGATTTTTGAGTTTAAGACCTTCTAGAATCGATTAATTAAACTGGGTTCAAATTGGGGAAAATGTGGGTGAACATAATTTTTAATTCGACTAAAATTGACTTTAAAAGTCAAAGTTGTTCTATGGGAAATACAAATTTTATCATTTATGAAGATTATGATTTCAGATCCGGAATTCTCGCAACAATAAGATCAATGCCCAACGTAACATTCATTTGGAAATATGAATCTGAAGATCTCGTATTTGCCCAATCCGCTGAAAATATTCATTTCTCAAAGTGGGTCCCTCAGACTGCTCTTCTCGCAGACCCCCGACTCTCGGGATTCTTGACACATGGTGGATTGGGAAGTACAAATGAATTGGCTCATCTTGGGAAGCCAGCAGTCATGGTCCCAATCTACGGAGACCAAACGAGAAACGCTAACATGCTAGCTAGACATGGATCGGTTATTGTACTTCATAAGAAGGATTTCGCGGATGAGGAGAAGATTGGAAAGGCAATTCATTCAATTTTATATGAAGACAAGTACATGAGAAATGCTTCACGATTAGCTGAGATGTTGAAAAATCAGCCAAGAAGTCCTAGGGAGACGGTGGTGAAGTACACAGAATTTGTGGCAAGGTAACAAACTTTTTTTTGAAAAATTCAAGATTGAAATTCGTATTTTCAGATTCGGGCCCTTTCCACAAATGGACCCATATGCCAGAAAGTTGAATTATTTCCAGAAGACGTTTCTGGATATTTATTTTGCAATCTTTGCTTTTGTTATAATTGTGGGAGCGATAATTGTACTGCCTTTCGTTATTTCTTAATTTTTTTTAAATACTAAAACGTTCATTTTCCTCTTATGACTCTCAAACGTTGATATAAATTTGGTAACTAATTTTTTTTCAGCAATTCCGTTGTTGCACAACTTTTTTTGCGAAATTTCACATTCTTAAATCTCACTTGGTATTCATATAGGAAGTATGACTCAATGTTTTTCTAGCTTATATAATCAGCATTTTCCGGTTTCATAGTTTGATTTTTTTGTTCCACCTCCACCTGTCTAACCGAATTTTCAGTATATCACACATCATAACAGAAATCACCATGCTAAAAATTAGTTTTCCAGAATATGACGAATATGACCACTGGGTTCCCCGCCCATATGAAAATAAAAATATCTGAAAACCACAAAAACCTCATTCATTTAAATTTCTATACCAAACAACATAAAGCATCATGTCATTCAATTATACCGACGCAGATTTTGGAGGATTCGGCTTCACGGAGTCCACTATAAACACATGGATTGCCATTGCTGACTTTATCAGTTCAATTTCGATGACTGTAGTGACTTATGAGTTCTATTTGGCATGTGGAGGAGTCGTCGCAAATGTGTTTCATCTTTTGATTCTCCTTCAAAAATCGATGAGATCCAATAGTGTGAACGTGGTAATGATCGGAATTGCTGCCTGTGATTTATTCAGTATGGGATTCACTGTATTTTCAAATCTATTGGTATTGGTAAATTCGAATCCCGAATGGTAGGTGGCAGCTTAATCCATCTGTCGCTGAAAATATCAAAATATGTACCGTGAAATCTGTAATAGAAGGCCCCCCCCACACTGACAGGCTGGGGCTTAATTATCTCAATTCCTATGCAAGATAAACTATGCAATTAAAAGCGCGTCGACTTTTACAGTGCTTATGATATTATCATAAACAATTTATCAGTCGGCAACTTTTCCATATCTCTGACAGGAACTGAGGAAAATTGGCTCAAAGATAAAAGCTAGGGGGGGCCCTTCTAATACAGGTTTTACGGTATTAAAGGTAGCTAAAGTTTTCAGCTGGAACTCTTCCAACTACTCAGTTATAGTTATACAACTATGGGGATCTGCTATAAACGACGACCTTCGAAGAATGACTCCATGGCTTGGCATCCTAATGGCTGTTATACGATTTTTAATTATCAAGAACTCCTTAAACCCTAAATTCCAAAAACTCTCTGACCCTATGTTCAGTGTTACAATCACTCTTATCACATGGATTCTTAGCACACTATGGTCAATGTTTTATTTTCTTAGGTTATCAGTAACAGATGTGGGAATACCATGGGAACCAGCTCCAACCTGTACCGCGTTTCCTCTAAATTACACTGAACATCAATATGATTTCACTATTGACCAAACATACATGAGTAACGCAGTTTTTATCATCAAAGTTTATCTAATCATAGATGGAATTCTGAAGGTACGAAAAATCCGATGGAAAATGAAAAAGTTGAAATTCAGATCATTCCCACTATTATGTTTCCCATTTTGACATTTCTACTGATTAGAGAACTGAAAGCTGCGCAAAGTTCTCGACAAAAAATATCTGCGGCTGTTCAGAGGAAAGAAGAGAGGTAAAATAATGGAATATTTTTTCAGGACTTCAAATCTGCCTATTTTTCCCTGAAAAATAACTAAAAACATTTTTTCCGATACTGTACTTTAGTATCTACTATTTCAGCACCCGTTCGGACCATACAACTAGTTTAGTCATTTTGATGACTGTAACTTTTATGACCGGTGAAGGACTTCTGGGAATTTGTTATGTCGTACAAGGGCTCATCACCAGTTATCCCATATTTGTGTAAGTTCTTTTTATTCAATTATAAATATGTCAACTGATAAAATTTTGGTGCTATTATGACAAACATTTTATCGCTCAGGTAATTTTCCGCAACTTGCCCATAAAAACGGCAGCATTGCCACCGCCACTCCGCAACGCTGCCGTTTTGAAAAGTATTATGCCGTTAGCGGCCCTTTTTCTGCTAACTGTCTTTGGATTGGAGCCCATTGCCTGCCCGTCTCCGAGTAATAGATGCCCTTCTCCGTTTACTTGATGCCTTTGAATCTCCATTTGCGCACTTGATGCCCGTTTTATGCCTCTTAGCTGCCAATTCTCTGCCTGAAATTTGGGCGGGGGTGGGCAACTTTTGTAAGGACAATGGTTTGGCAGCTAAGAGGCATAAATCAAGTGCGCAAATGGAGATAGCGGAGAAGGGCATCTATTGTGCGGAGATGGGCAGGCAATCCAGAGACAGTTAGCAAAAGAAGGCCCCGAGCGCAGCAAAACGGCAGAATACTTTTCAAAACGACAGCGTTGCGGAGTGGCGGTGGCAACGTTGCCGTTTTGCAAAGTATTCTGCCGTTTTGATGGGCAAGTTGCGGAAAATTACCTGAGTCTGTTGACAGCTTTTGCATGTCTTTCACAGGAACTGAGAAAAATTTGAATTCAAGTTAAAAGAGGGGAGCCTTCTATTACAGGTTTCCCAGAAATTCTCACTTTTTGAACTTTCCAATAATTTTTTTTTCAGACAAATCGTCACTGACCTCAGCTACATTTTTGGAATTTTCGTTGCTCTGAACTCTAGCACCCATTGCCTCATTTGCCTTACAGTATCCTCACAATACCGTCGAACAGTCAAATCTCTATTTTTATGTGAATCGTGTAAACCAAGAAAAGCATCCTCGAAGGTGGTTGGAAATTTTTGGCTTTTCAAAAATAAAAATTTCAGGTTTGCGTCTCCGCAAAAGCTAGTGTATCAAGCATGGCTCCTGTTACATGATTCATTATTTTCCAAGACATGAAATGAATATTTATTCTCTAAAAATTTTAAGAATCAATTATAATTGCTCTGACGCTTGTACTACACTGCGAACAAATAAAAACCATGGGGGGATAGGTAGAATTTGAGATTGAAGTCGTCTAGTCATCTGGAGATGGTTTTCTGGAACCCAGGAAGAATACTTTTTGAATTCATCCTGTTTGAAATCCTTATTGCAAACGTATCCTTCTAAATCTTGATATCCAAAAATTGATCTTCTCATTTTTACCACAAAAATTAGGTCAGCAGATTTTGTTGGAAGAATGACAATTTTACTTGAATTTGAATATTTTGTTCCATTTTTGAATCCCTCCAAGACGTCATCCTCTGACAAAGCCGTTCCGAAATTCACACGAAATCCGAAACCTGGCTTTAAATTTTGTCTTGTGATAAAAGAGTCTATCAAATTCCAAGCGTCTATTGTTGTAAAATCCGTCGTGTAAAACCGAATTTTGTCTAAATGCAACACAGAATCCATTGGAATTTCTTGGCGTCCATAGAAGAAAATTTGGTCCGCGTTTTTCCAATTTTTCGTTTTTACCAAATCAGCCAATAACTCTTCTGATAAACTGTAATAAAATGAATAGTGTCTGGCATTGAAGGTTTAAAAATTCGCAAAAAATCCTGATCCGATACTCCGTTCAATTTAAAATACACTGATTTTGCTTTGATTTGATATTTCAAAAATTGAATTTTTGACAAAAAATTCCAAACTGCAGAATCCGAAAAATCGAGTAACAGGCTTTGTACACTTGTTCTTTTTGACTTGAAAATGTTGAAAAAATGGTCAAAAATGTTTTCAAAAATCTTGACGGAGCCGAAGTAACCCTTGGCATGAAGCACAGACTTTTTGGAAGTCGTGGTGTAAATTTCAACGTTTTTCAGAAAAATCGGGCATTGATCAATTAGGTTTTTGTCAGATTTTGAGCAGGTTTGTAGGCGGAATCTGGAAGAAAAGTTAGAATTTCAGAATTCAGAGATTTCAGAATTTCAGAACACCATAATTTCAAAATCTGAATTTCGAAATCGGAGAATCTCAGAATTCCAGAGTTTCAGAATAACAGGTTCTTCGAATTTCAGAATATCAGAGCTTCGCAAACAGAACTTCAAAATTTCTGAGCTTCAAAATCACAGAGTCTCAAAAAATCAAATTTCAGATATTCGAAATTCAAAAATCAGAATTTCAGACAATTTCAGTGTCTCAGGACCTCAGGACCTCTGAATCTAAGAATCTCAAAATCTCAGAATCTCAGAATCTCAGAATCTCAGAATCTCAGAATCTCAATCTCACCTCGATTTGAAATCCAGAAACTGAATGATTTCCTCTTTGACTTCGATTGGTATTCTCTGCCATGTTGGCTTCATAGTTTGAGAATATTTTTTTTCAGAAAAAAAAGAATTCGCAAATGAGATTCCAACACCAACAATCGCTATTTATACAGAGGAAAAGGTGACGAATTTCAATGACATGCAAAAACAGAGCATTGACAAAAATAGGTTTTTACAGAAAAATTATTTCCATTTCCTATCGTTTTTTGTTTATATTGGCTTAAAACAACAAACAAATATAAAAATGCATAAGTCATAAAACAACAGAAAACAGGTCGTAAAAGGCACGAAAAATACAAAAAATTGTATACCATAATGTTTTTTTAATTGTGATGAGGGTTAGCATCAAAAATCAGGGGGTTTTAGATTTGTCGACCAAAATTTGGGTCCAAATTGTATGCTTTGAAATTTTCAGATTCTCAGATTCGTAGTTGAAAACATTTATTTTCAAAGCCTAATAATCCACTTTTCATACAATTAATTTTTTTTTCGATTCCAACTTTTGGAAAAATGAAACTGAAAGTTTCTAATAATTAAGATTGCGAAATCTCTGTTTCTCTAGACACTCTTTTTCTAAATTTCGTAACATTTTGAACATATCGGAACGAAAAACCAGAATCGGCGATTTCGACATAATGAAAAATGTTCTTTTCTCATTTATTTTCTGTTTCTAAGCTCGTTTTTTGGGTTCATTTATGAAAAAAATCCAATTTCAAATTTTTTTTCGTTTCAGAGGAATTTTTTAAGTTTTTGAAATCACATTTTAAAGATATTCAAGTTTGAGAACATTTTTTAAATGTTCCAAAAAATCGAAATTTTTGAAATAGATTTTCTATTAATGTCAAACTAGGTTTATATTTTTCAAAACTCTCTGGAATAACCCAATTTCAATTTTTCAGACAAAATGGGAAAATTGGAACCTACTTGGCAAGGAATCCCGTTTGAAATCAAAGAGGTTGTTTTGAAATATTTGGAGTACAAATCGAGGTAAATATCCTATAATTTTTTTTTTTGATTTTTGATGTGAAATTCTGAAAATTCTCGCAGTTCTGAAATTTCGAAATTTTATGATTTTGAAATTCTGAAATACTCTGATTTTGAAATTCTGAGATTCTGAAATTCTGAGATTCTGATTCTAGAAATCTGGATTCTGAATCCGGATTAAAAATCTGAAATTGTGAAATTCCCTGATTCTGAGATTGAAGTTTTGAGATTCTGAAAAATTGATTATTATATTATAAAAATCGGGATTTGTTAAGTCAAGAACTTTCTAGATTTCGTCTCCGAGTTTGCTCCAAATCCGACAAAAATCTGATCGACAACTCTCCAGTATTTCTAAAACAAGTTGAACTTTATGAAAATCCTCTAGTGCTCCGTATAAATAATAATCTGGAAATGCAAGAAAATGTGATTGCTCATTTTTTGGAAATCTTCAAAAACAAGTATTCCAAAGTTAAATCTCTGATTCTCGATTCCAAACAACTGGCAAAACTTTCCCTGGAATCTGAAAATACGTTGAAAACCCGAGAAGTTTATTTCAAAACTTTTGGAATGTCTCAACAAAATTTTGTTCGATTATTTCAAAAAATTGATTTGAAGTCGATAAAATCCATTTCCTTTCGAAGAAATCTGTCAGAAGACTTAATTGACCAATTAGCGAGAACTGACGCCTGGAAAAATTCTCTTCAAATTTTCTGCTATGGACGGCAAGATATTCCAATGGACCACGTGCTCGGCAGGAATCACTTCAGAGCACAAGTCATAAATTTGGAGCCTGTTGGAATTTGGAGTTGATAAAATCGATAATTATTCGAGAAAATTTGGAATCTGGATTTGGATTTAGGATTAATTATTTGAATGGAATTTCTCAAAACGATATAGTTGCGGAGTTCAAGGAAAAACCTGAAAAGGTTCGAAATGAGCAGTGGCAGTGAGTTTTTCATTCTAATTTCTCTTTAATATTTTGCCGGACAATTTTGTACCAGACCGAGGCAAATCGAGCATCTTTGACTTTGAAGTCCTGAAAAAATGTTTCAAGATCTTTCGATTTGTCTGAAAATTTCAGAGTATACTAAACAGAACCAGATCTTCATTTTTTCACAATTTTTTTTCACAAAGTCAACCTTGCGAGATAAGTCCCAAAGCAATTCGGTGCTAATATTGGGCCTTGCTTAGGGAAAATCTTAAAAGTCTAATTTGAAAAAAATTGATCATTTTGAGCTTTGAGAAATTTTTCAGATCGAAGTGCTGATTTTCAAGTTCAAGTTTTCAAGACCCTAATGACTATAAATGGAAGTTATGAAGTTTCCTGGTAACTTCTAAAAATTTCCAAAACCTGAGAATTCTAAAAGTTCGAGTTCTTAAAAGTTTGAATAGTTTTTTGAATAGAATTTTTTTCACCTTATGAAATTTGTATAAGAAAGTTGTGAACTATGAAAATGAAGCCCTAATTTTGTTTAGTATACTCTGAAATGTTCAGACAAATTGGAATGTTCTGAACTCCTTTTTTGGGAATTGAAAGTTTCGGAGTTCAAACCCTTCAATTATTTGCTTCCAGATTTTCCACCGAGCACTCTTGCAGTTATATTTTCCCGGTCAACACTAAAAATCGAATTTTCGTCTTAAGAATGAGAAGATCCGGATTCAATGGATACGATATTGAAGGATACGTCTGTACGGAAAATTATACAGACGACGAATTCGGAAAATATGGATCCTGGATTCCGAAGAATCATGAAATTGTGAATCACAGAATTCGAAGAGGAAACTTTAATATTGTCAATTTAGCGAACTACCTATAGCACATTTGTAGTTTCATTCTTTTTTATAAATATAAATTTATAACTTCAAAATGTATATACTCATTTTCTCTTTTTGTAAGTAAAAACATTCCAAAGTTCCAAAGTATGAGTCAACTTTCCCTATCAAAATTTCCACTTCCTCCTTTCTAACGACGATTCTCCAGAGAAGTAGTCAACAACAAACCAAAAATGCAAATTCTCAATTTCTCCCGGAAGTAAAATTAAACACCAATGTTCAAGGTAACTGCTGTCAACAACACCGGAAATCAAAAAACCAGAATTACTCATTTATTTTTGAAAAATAGTCACAAAATCTTGGAAAACCCTGTAGAGAACAAAAAAACGCGCAAGTAAAAAAAGTGTGTGAGATCAGAAATAAATTATTCCTTTCCAAAGTCTTCCTCGATATGATCAACACGACAAATGACGCCTTTGGCGACTTCTGAATTCAATTGAACTACCAGAATTAGATCGGCATTTCGAGTCTTCCAACGTTGAGTGTGTTTGATGAAAGGAGATCTGGAATAGGTTGAAATTTAGATTAGAGAGATTAGGCTCAAGCTTAAAATGTCAATTATAGACCCTAACAAGTGAGAGCATGCAAGTTGAGCTTTCTTAGGCTTAGGCTTAAGGACCTTAGGCTTTGGGTAAAGGATCTTAAGTTTAGAGATGAGGCTCAGGCGTAGCCTGGGTCATTTGGGCTTTGAGGTTAAGGATCATTGGCTTAGGCTTAAGGACCTTAGGATTAGGCTTGAGAGCCTTAATATTAGGCTTCAAGTCCTCAGGCTTAGAGATAAGGGCCTTCGACTTAAGTGAGGACATTTGGCTTAGGCTTAACCGGTCAACTTCGCTAAAGAATAGTTGCTCACCTTTTTCCACCAATTGGCTCATCTCTCAATGGAACTTGGAAGCATTTCAACACCTCCTCCACATCCCATGGCTTATTCACGGTGAGCTGGAAATGAGAGCCACGTGGCAAGTTGCGAGATTGGTAGCTCTGAAAACTGATCAATTAGAGTTGAAAAATCAATTAAACCGTTTACCTGAACAACTTTCCAGATTTCTGGGCCAGTGAAACTTGAGCTGGCATATTGTAGCTTTTCGGCTGTCAAGAAAAAATCCATCACTGTTTTCTGTTGAAGCTCCAAATTGATTTCCTTGAGCAACCACCAGTGTTCCGACTTTGCCAACATGTTGATAGTTCCGGAAGTGAAATTTGATTTGACCAAATCCAAAGATCTTAGGTATTTCGAATCGAACAGGTTGAGAATCTTCAAGAAGTGGTCACCAGCATCGCTAGTGGATGGCTTCTGAACTTTTCCTTTCGGTTGCAATAGTTTGAAATTGTTGTTCCATTGAATTTTTCGCGCGCGAATCTTGCAAACCGATCCTCGCTTCTCCATCTCGGCCTCCAAATCCTGAAGGAACTTCGGAACACATGGCTTGTTTTCATCGAAGCAGTCGAACCAAAAGCTCTGTGCCACTGATCGCTTATTCTTGAAAAGTGCCAAAAAATCGTCGACGCCATGCAAATTGACACATTTCCATTTGTCGGTGAATACGGAGAAGACGACCTGCTCGTCGAGTTGTTTGGTTTGAGGATTGTAGATCCGATCGGTTTTCATCGTGATGTAAGACATAATCAGTGGGGTGGAATCAATGAGATCCCGGTTGAGAGAGGAGCTTTTACGCATACAGCACCTATAAAAAATAAAGAATTAGAAAATGAATAAAGTTCAACATTTTGAGGTTCTTAGATTCTGAGATTCCGAGATTCTCAAATTCGGATTTTCGGAGATCCTGAAATTTGGAGAATCTGAGATTCTGAGATTCTCAAATTCTGAGATTCTAAGAATCTGAGATTTTAAGATTCTGAGATTCTGAGATTCTAAGAATTCTCTGAGATTCTAAGAATCTCAGATTTTGAGATTCTGAGATTCTGAGATTCTGAGATTCTGAGATTCTGAGATTCTGAGATTCTGAGATTCTGAAATTTTGAAATTCTGAGATTCTGAGATTCTGAGATTCTGAGATTCCGAGATTCTCAAATTCGGAGTTTATGAGATCCTGAAATTCAGAGAATCTGAGATTTTTAGTTTCTGAGATTCTGAGATTCTAAGAATCTGAGATTTTTAGTCTCTGAGATTCTGAGATTCTAAGAATTTCAGATTTTGAGATTCTGAGATTCTGAGATTCTGAGATTCTGAGATTCTGAGATTCTGAGATTCTGAGATTCTGAGATTCTGAGATTCCGAGATTCTCAAATTCGGAGTTTTTGAGATCCTGAAATTCAGAGAATCTGAGATTTTTAGTTTCTGAGATTCTGAGATTCTAAGAATCTGAGATTTTTAGTCTCTGAGATTCTGAGATTCTAAGAATTTCAGATTTTGAGATTCTGAGATTCTGAGATTCTGAGATTCTGAGATTCTGAGATTCTGAGATTCTGAGATTCTGAGATTCTGAGATTCTGAAATTCTGAGAATCTTAGCTTTTCAGATGCTAAGATCCTGACATTATTAGATTTTCAAATTTTCAGATTATCAGATTTTGAGATTTTTTTGGGTTCTAAAAAGTGAAACTTTGAAATTTCTAATTTTTTTTGGAAAATTTTGAATTTCTCAATGGAAAAATTGGGAAATAGATGCTCTCAAAAATTCAGAATTTCAGAATTTCAGAATCTGAAAGTCAAAGATTTCTAGAGAAGAAAAGTAAAATTCTCAGCGACTTTAATTTTTCCAGAAACTTCTAGAATCAAAAGATTTCTCAACAGCCTCGAGGCTCTCTTTATCTCAAAACAAAAATCAATCTGTTTTTAAAAAACTAGTGAATGTGTCACCCTCAAAAAATCTGAAAATCCTAATGCACAGGGGAACAAAGTACACCTGTGCGTTGCAATTTTTCCACTTCCTTGTTGCCCAAAAATAATCCACTTGTCAAAAAAAAGAGGAAGTGAAAATTTTCAAATTTTTGGTTTTTGATTTTTCTTTGCTAACCTGGATTTGTAGTCCAATTGCTTGACAACATTCTGCTGGAATGCTGGCGGAAGTTTCGTCCAGAATTTGAACTTTTTCAGATGGCAAGGTGAGGATTCTATAGATGACGTGGATATTGTTGAAGACGTGGTAAATGTGGATTCTGGAATTTCCAATTCAGCTTCTCCAGAATTTTCTATGCCTTACCATTTGAAGAGCTCCCACTGGACAATGAGAAAACTGATTCATCATGGTCGGAGCTCACATAATCGGTGCTCCCGGAAACGAGAAAGGATTCCATCTGGCTGAAAAGTTCTTGACTATAGATTATATTGTTTTTCGGAAATATAAAAAAAAATAAAATGAGGAAGGGAAGGAAATCTCAAGAGGGGGGGGGGGGCAGGTGAGAATAATAAGGGAGTTCTTACAAAGTGACGAAGGTGATTTCGAAAGTAGGGGATGGGAAAACAAGAGGAAGAAATTTTTCAGGCTGTTTTGATGGTCTTAGGCTACAATCCGGAATTCTAGGAACCAGGAAGAAGAAGATGATGATGGGAAAAAAGAGATTAGCAGGGAAAAAATGAAGCAACGCAGCTTGAAAAACGTACTGGATGATTAAAAAAGGGGGTGTCTGGAAGAATCTTCTCATTTTTGTTGTTGTAAAAATAGCACTATGATAAATACCGTAAAATCTGTACTAGACAGGCCCCACAAGTTAGAGCTCAATTATCTCAATTCCTAGGCAAGATATCAAAAATGTGTCAACTGAAAAATTATGATAAGTAATTCATCAGTTGAAAACTTTTTTCTTTCTTTTACAGGAGCCGAGAAAATTGAGCTCAATTCCTCGCAACCGCATAGCTCAGACGGCTTTAGGCTGAAGGACTTTAAGTTTACCCGCAAGGATCTTAGGCTTAGGCTCATGGACCTTAGGATTCAACATAAAAACCTTAGGCGTATGCTTAAGGATCTCAAGATTATGCTCAAAGACCTTAGACTTAGGCTTAAGGACCTCAATCTTATGCTCAAGGATAGGCTCAACGAATCAACTGGGGACCGGACTACAAAAGAAAAAAAAACAGCTGACTGAAAAAGTTGCTCTCCTTTTCTCACCAAATCAATTACAGTTTTAGCATATTTTATCAGTTTGTCAATTTTTCAAATAATTCACAAAAACGAAAATTCGCTCAAAGTTGGGAATGTTAGTGTTGTGAATTTAATCTTCATTTTTCTTATCAGCAAAAAATTAAAAATTATAGAAAACGTCTCTTAGAAAACTTCTAGAAAACTTTTTTGGAACCTAGGAAATGCAGAAGCTCAAAACCTACTGGTTTTGGAATATGAAAATTAAAAAAAAATTCTGGAATCCGGCGTCATTTAGATTTTTTGTAGATTCAGAATCCCATAACTTGAAACCCAAGAGTGAAACGGAATCTATCCCAAACTAATCATTTTTACCGGCAAGCAAAACGGGACAAGAAATAAATAGGCTAGATAACCGGACCAAGGCTAATCAGAACCGCCCCAAGTCATATCTATAAGTAATGAGGAAGCCTTGAAGAAGAAGAAGAAGACGTGGATGAAAAATAAAGGAAGAAGGCACAAAAAACATACTATATAAGCGAGGAGGAAGCACATGCGACATCCCGCGTCCCCGCTCACCAGCACCCGACGGACACACGCTCAAAGGAGGAAAGGGAAAAATGTGGTTGAGGAGACACGGAAGTAGAATAACGGGCGCGAAGCGACGAGACGATCAGAGATGAGAGAGTTAGAGACTTAGAGACGAAAACGAGAAGAGAGTGAGAGACTGAGAACGGGCCACCCCGTCAGAAGGAATGTGTCATTACTAGTCTCAGCAATGTTGGAATACTTCCGGGTCTAGAGGGGGACATCCATATTGATAATATCTTGATTAATGATCGGCTAGATATCATTTATTGTTCCTGGTCCAGAGGGAGGGGTTAGATCAAAAAATTTGTTTGTATTGTTCTCTAAATCACAAGGAAAGGAGAAAATGGCAAATGGCGCCCCCCAGGCAAAAGATGATCGCTATGATGGGCGAGAGTAGAAGAGGAAAACAGGTTATAATGTGAGGTTTAGGAATCAAATCCTAGAATTTAAAAGTTCTTCACGGAGTGGAATTCGTAGGACTACCGTGGTTCACGCTGACCGATTTCGAATTCAAGCCGCACGACAGCCACGCGCTGTGCGAACACCGGTTTGCTGCTCACAGTCCCGACGAAAAAAAAAACTTCGAAAAATTTCCTGCCCCCCCCCCCCCTTTTTTAAGTTGGTGAAACTTTTTTTAAATTCGAAATACTAGTGTCAGAAGGTCCCCAAGCCCGGCCCAAATTTGTCTTGGTTTCTGAATTTTCTGAGACCGACTTTTTGAAAATTTTCGAAATTTCAGAATCTTTTAAAATCAGAAAAAAAGTCGCAAACCCGAAAATAAAGATGTTCGAAAATGACACGGCAATTCGCTTCTCGCTTTCACAAAAAATTTCGGCGCCGCTAGACTTCCGGGTTCTATTAGGAGAATGATTTGAAAGTGCAAACAAGACTTTATTGGAAAGTGAACAATGAACTAAAAGGGTTTTATGTTGAAAATTAAGCGAGACAGAGATATGAACATTAGAGAAATATTGATTTTTCTCTGAAACTTCGACAATGCTTTGAAATCTGAAATCAACTGTCAGGGTTGACCCAATTCGCCTAAAATGAGAAAAACTGGCTCAAAGTTAAGTGCAACCGATTTTTTCAAAAAAATTTTGCAAATTAAAAAATGTAAATTTGACTAGGGAATGGCCAAAACATTGTTCATTTTCCTCATATTTGCCACATCCGTTGGAGGCCCGGACAGGAATTTTTTTTGGGCAAAATTTCTCAAAAAAAAATTTTTTTTTGATAAATTTTTTAAATGTTTTCTACAAAAACAAACTAGTTTTTGAGAGAAAAAAAAATATTTTGCTAAAAAAAATGCAATTTTCAGTACGATCCCACCCCCGGAAATCAGCAAAAAATTATTTTTTAAACATTTGTTTAACCATTGAAAATTCAATATTTACAATACAGTTTGAAATTAGATGCTAAACACAACGTTTTTCCGAAAAAAAAAACAAGCCATTTTTCCTAAATTTCGATGCTGTCCGGGCCTTCCGGGCGTTCCGGGCCGTGCCGGGCCAGGCCGGGCCTTGATCAAATTTTTGAAGACCCGGCCCGTTGCAGGTATGATTTTCCTCATATTGTGAAATTACATTTTTGAAATTTTTTCAAATAGTATTCTGTTTTTTTTTGTTTCAAACAGATTCAGAAAAATAATGTTATAAAAAAAGATTGTGACACAAAATTTTACATAATTTTAGAAATTTCCATATTTGAGTACAATCAAAGGTTAGAACGGTAAACATCAATTTTTAGGAGCGAATTTTGAATTCGAAAAATGGATTTTCGAGGTTCGAAAAAAAAATTGAAAACTGAAAAAAAAAATAATTTTTGGTCTTCCTAGAAAAACTTTAATTCAAACTGCAATTTCGAAACTTCATATTTCACATTAAGCTATTTTTAAACTTTTTCAAGTTTCATACATCATTTCTAGTGCAATTTACGCTCTATTTCAGTTCGTAGCTTGTTTGTCTCTGAACTTAATTGTTCAACCTTTTTTAACTTCAAATTTTCGACACTGACACTTTAATTTCGAAATGTATCATTTTTGAATTAAAAATAGTCTGACTGTGAAGTATAATTGTCACTCGGATAACTTGCATTTAAAAAACTTCATTAAATTAATTTGAATTTTTTAAAAATCAATTTTTAAAAAATTCTGAAGATTTTGAATTTTCGAGATCGGGGAAATTCATAAAAATTACAGCTTTTGAAAATTTTCAAAAAAAATCAAGTTTCAGAATCGTCCAGAACGTCTCCTCTCCTATTTCCGTATTTCGAATTGATAGAAATTTTCCATCCGTTTCCATTTTGAATCGTTGAGTCTGTCGCCCAACCACTCCAATATCGCTGAAAAAAAGAAGAGAAAAAAGAAAAAAACGTTGTTGACAAGGAAAAAATGTTCTCTCGAACTTTCGCTCTGTTTTCCTGCTCGCTCTGGAATAATCGGCTGGTTTTTTAGACGCACGTTGTGCATTTTGAATACGTCAACAAGTTTTGGATGGCGCTCGGAATGGAAATAAAATGAGGAACCAATTGGAAGGTCTCGGGATATGAATCTCTGGAAGAATGTATGATTTTTGGAGATTGTAAGGTATTTTCAATTTTCAGGTATTTTAGATTTACAAATTACAAGACTGGAAAACTGTGGAATCTTGTTGGAACTCTGAGATTTTAAACTTCTGAGATTCTTAAATTCTGAGGCTCTGAAATTCGGAAAATCTGGTGTTTCTGAAACTTCAGATTTTCAGATTCTCAGACTCTGAAATTCTGAAATTCTGAAATACTGACCCTACAATTTTGAGACTCTGAAATTCTGAGATTCTCAAATTGTAAGATTCTGAAATTCTGAGATTCTCAATTTCTGAGATTCTGAAATTCTTAAACCCTGAGTCTCTGAAATCTGGAAATCTGGGGATTCTGAAATTTCGAAACTTTCTGATTTTCAGATTTTCAGATTTTTAGATTCTTAGACTCTGAAATTCTGAAAATCTGAGATTTCCAAATTCTGAGATTCTCCATTTCTAAGATTCTCAACTATTGAGATTCTGAAATTCTGAAAAGAGATTTTGAAACTCGGGAATTCTGAGATCCTGACTCTAAAATTCTGAAACACTGAAATTCTGAGATTCTCAAATTGTAAGATTCTGAAATTCTGAGATTCTCCATTTCTGAGAATCTCAATTTCTGAGATTCTGAAATTCTTAAATCCTGAAACTCTGATATTATGGAAATCTGGGGATTCTGAAATTTCGAAACTTTCTGATTTTCAGATTTTTAGATTCTTAGACTCTGAAATTCTAAAAGTCTGAAAATCTGAGATTTTCAAATTCTTAGATTCTCCATTTCTGGGATTTCCAAATTCCGAGCTTCTCCATTTTTAAGATTCTCAATTTCTGAGATTCTGAAATTCTAAAAATTATGAGATTTTGAAATTTTAAAAAATTTTTAAAATTTTTAATTTTTGTATTTTCGGTTTTCCTAAATTCTTGATTTTTTTGAAGTGGGAATTCTCGATTTCTTGAATTCTCTGATTTCGGTTTCTCAAAGTTCTGAAATTCCAAAAATTTCGAAAAATAAAAAAAATCCCGATTTTCTATCACTAACCTGTATCATTTTCCAAATATTCACAACATCCAATTTCTCAAACAGTACCACCAAACATTCAAAATTCAAAAATGGATCCACCGATTTTGCCAATGCGTTTCCCAGACTTAATATTTTCACACTTCTCCAAATTTCTCCCAACCGTTCGAATTGCTCCACAGAAAAATTCATGTCATTATGAATCATTTGAAGAAAATTTTTATCAAAAAGTGATCAAAAAGTGAAAAAGTGAAGTCGATTTGCGCGAATTTTGAAATTTCCACCGATTTCCACAAAATTGTTTATCAGATTTGTCAGTTTACCAAACTGAGCCAAGGGACTCTGGATTTTGAGCTCATTAGTTTGAAGATGAGCAATTTTCAAAATTCGATAAATTTCGGAAGTCTCCAAAGAACTGACAAGGCGGAAGTTTGCTTCTGGAGTTTCTCGGATTTTTAAATTTATCCCATCAGAATGTGGAATTAGATATTCCAGGTTTTCCAGAAAAACTCGGCATTTGAAATTCAAACCATACTCTTTTTTGGAGCACAAAGAGAGGGAAAACCTGGGAAAATTTTTTTAATGAGATTTCTAAAAACTAGGTCACCTGGATTTCAAATTTAATTTCGCATTTACTGAAAGTCGTGAAGTTCTTGCCAGGTCGCCATTTCTGAAAGAAAAAAAGTTTATTATCGAGAATTTTGAAAAGCGGTGACGAATTTTTTCTGTTTGATCTAGATGACAAAAAAATTACCAAATCAAATAATAGAAACGAAAGAAACAAACTGAAACACGAGATTTTTTTTAGAATTTGAAATTTTGATGTTCGGTTTTTTGGGATTCTGAAAAACAGAAATCTGAAAAAATTATTTTTTAAAAATTCAAAAATTTGAATTTCCGACTTTCGGGAGTTTTTAAATTTTTAGAATTCTGAGTTTCTGGAATTTCTGAAAACCCTGGAACCCAAGAATTTTCGAACTTCCTGTATTTTCTGATTTTTCTGATTTTTCTGGAGAACTTCTGAAAAAATTCCTAAAAGTCAAAATTTTGAATTTTTAAAGTTAAAAAAAAACCGAGGTATTCAAAAACTGAGAAATGCAAAATATATAACAAAAATAACAAAAAAGATAAAAAACAAAACAAAAAATTCACATTCATTTCTTCAATTAAAACCAGAATCTCTAAACATTTCTGGATGTGAAAATTCAATTTTAATGATATTAAAAATCTTCGCCACCTCCATTCTCGGCCGATGCTCCCACAGATTCTTCTGTATCGAATTATTGATTTTCATCATTTTAGACAATCGGTTCGAATACTTTGGCATGTTCATCTCCTTCACATAATAATTGTGGAGATCGTTAGCCAATGATTTTTGAAATTGTTCTGTCAATTTCAGAATTTCTCCTTGACATCGTTTTCCAGCGTATTCGAACGATAATTGGGCCAACATAAATGTTATTTCCATGTCTGATGGTTCAAGTTCCAATAGAGCACCAATTATGTCAAAATGGTCCGATGAGTTTTGTCGGAGAAAGCTGGAATAGAGTTTTCATTTGGGTGGGAGCAGATGCGGGCTACCCGCTACCCCCCGGGGGAGGTTCCCACCCGAGGCCCCCGCGGCCTCCCGCGATTATATGGGTGTGAAAAAGTTTTAAAATTTGACTTCTTCAATGAGTAACTCAAACATGCTCTTCTGAACACAAACTCACTATGCAATCTCGCTCGACGGATAATCACTAAGCCAGGTGGAATCGAATTGTACCTTTGTGAGATCCAGTAAAACACCTCGTCTGGAGATTATTTGAGTTTTTGGTGCATATGGATGACTTCTTCTATAGGATGCTGTGGCACAGTGACGGTCTAGCGTTGCCCATATGTGCCAGATGGTTTCGAGGATTTTTAGCTGGAAAAGTATTTAGTTTTAATTTCTGAATAAAAAAAGAAATCGTACCTTCACCGTATCTTCTAACTTCTGAAACTCTTCAAAATGCATCAACCATGTGGCAACTGTTAGAAAATAATACTGCCAAGTGTCAGATACAACAGATTGATTGATCGTGCTCAATGACTCAAGCCCATCCAAATTCTTCTTCTCCGATTCCTTCAATCCCATGGATAACCTCTTCAGGGAACTGTCTCTGACATATACATTCTTAAAATCCTGCCCAAAAATTTCAGAAGCTTTTTGCACCAGAAATTTCACATCTATATAAGATTTTTGGTTTGGTTTTTCGGCGTCCCAGAATAATACCACTTCGGGACGTCCAACAAATTTTGGAAGGGAAGTTGGGACATTTCGGGAAAATAGAGAGTCCCGGTTGTATTGGAAATCTGAAAGTGTTGCAATGTTGATTTATCTCAATTTCCGTAATAGATATCAAAAAATTGTCCACTAACAAAATATTTTAGGTATTATGGTAAATATTTTATCAATCGAAAACTTTTTCGTTTCTTTCAGAGAAAACGAAATGAATTGGCTCAAAGTTAATAAGCTCAAAACTCACTAGAAGTTTCCATTCCAACATTAAAACAACGTTTCAAACGGCAAGGTTTGCAGAAATATCTGGAAAAAATACCAAAGTTTGCTCTATTGATAATTTGTCCTCACTTATAGTTTGTACAACATCCATTCCTACAATTCGACGTGCTCCATTTGGAAAAAGCAGTTCTTCTGGAAATATATTTATATAAATAAAAAACTATTAAAAAATTTGAGTAACTTAATTGAATTTCAGAATTCTCAATTTTTGAATATCTTCATTTTTTGATTTTCAAAATTCTTTAAAACTCACCGAAAAAATGCAGCACACGCTCTGCAACTAATCGCTCCAAAATGGTTCCCATGAGCTCCTTGAGCACCACAAACTTGGCAAATTTGAATTTGGATAACTTCCATTCTAGCAAAAATAAAGAGAATTCAAAGATCCGTTAAACCGAAGAAATGAATTAGCTCTTTACAAAAAAATCACCTGACACAAAAAGTTCAGAAAAAATTATGTTTCATTGATCAATTTGTGTATATACTTGTAGAAAAGGGAAATTTAGTCAGACATATGAAAGCCGAAAGACTAAATAGAATAATAAATGGTGTGAAAGAAAATTGGCTGGCACGGAAGAAATGATGTGTTTTTATCGCTGTGCGGGATTTTCGACTTTTTGATCTTGAATTTAATTCTTGAACATTTATTAAATCACAGAATAAAAATGATAGAAATCACATCGAATAAACAATTCGATACTTATCAGCCATTCTTTGTCCCAAATTCGAATTCGTTTTAATCATATCTCTTTCCCTAATCAATCCAATTCCCAGTTTTCTTCATTTTTACTCAAAATACAAGCTTGAATTAATGTTTGAGCAAAAACGTCTCTCTGTGCATGGGATCCTCCAATTTTGATAACGTCACTTCAAAGTGGATACATTCTCTGAACGGCTTTGCCATGTGCAAAATCGAGCATTCCGTCGTAAAGAGGAACACCAATCGTTTTTGAAATTTCAGCGTTGTCTTCGGAAAGCAAGCTGAAAAAATGAGAGAACTTTGAGTTTTCGGATTATCTGGATTCTCAAACTCTTGAATATTGAATGTCTGAATTTTCGGTTTCTTTTTTTCTAAATTTTGGTGAAATTGACTGATTTTTATGAATTTCGAACAAAAATTTGTCAAAATTTTCGATGAAAAACTTCGGGGAAAATGGCAGGAAGGGCTCCTAGTTGATGGTCCCCTGTAATGGAAGAGCCCTCTCAAGGTGCCTTGGTAGAATAGAAGAACGGGTCATTCTAATACGGGTTTTAGGGCATCTGAAATTTAGAAGTTTTTTTCATCACTCACCCCGAGTTCAAAGACTCTCTCAACTTCTTCTCCGTTTCCCAATCCTCTTGTCTACACAATGCTAATCCAATATGAACATCAGTGAACACTGTCGAATGAGTATCCGCATGTTCTCCAAGTCTGTTAATCTTGTCCCATCGTTCCTTTCCAACGTTCACACCTTCTAATTTCAATCACCAAAGCAACGAAGACGCGTCATGCATATCCAACAACATATTGGTTTCATTGAATCGATGACCCACTTCTTTGACCCCATCGATGACCCATTTCTCACCTTCCAATCATCTTCCGTTTTATACATGAAATCTCTTCCTTCTTTGTGTCTTTCACCCATTTCCATACCATGAGCCAACGCGTGATTTCCATAACATAAGCCAACGCGTCCCAACAATCGAATCGATTCAATTTGAGCGCTTCTCTTCCAGCCTTCTCCCCCTCCACGTATTTTCCAGACTCTTCTAAAGCGAATGCGTGAATTCCGAATAGGAAGCTATAACAAGGCATGTCGGCAGTCCAAAATGGCAGAATCTTGTCTAAAGTAGCCAGGTTGGTACGAAGGGTTCCGTTGAAAAAATGGGCGTCTTGAGCAAAACGAACAGCCGAACAGCAATCGGTTGGGTAGTCGTCGAGAAGACGATCCCACACACCCGATGCTTCGTTGTGTTTTCTAGGAAAAACATGGGATAAGTTGAAATGAAATTTCGCCGGAAACTCACCCTCGCCCCCACAAAATCGCAGCTTTTGCGTGCCGTTTTTCTCGATTTCCGTATTTTTCCGCATCGTCGTCCAAATTTTTCATTTTTTGAGCTAATTCTGGATTGGATGCTGCCTCTTTACCAGCCATCACTTTCACGGCAAGCAAGAAAGCACGGGATAGAACTGGAAAAATTAATTTAAAGTTTATCAAAATATTATGAATCTCTTACCTGTTTCCGGATCGGATTCTACCAGTTTCCTACAAGAGTTTTCGAATCCAGTTACATTTGTAATTCGCTATTTCCATGTACTTAGTTTTTGTTTTCCCAACCATTCTCTTCGTTTCCCACAATATTTTGCCTGAGAAGTGTATACGTGACTATAGCGAATTTTGATTTTCAATCACTGAATTCTAAAAAAGACGAGGTTTGATTGAAGCAGTCTAGATAGCTTCAAAATCTTCAGATTTGTCTGGAAACTTCAATGTTTACTAAGAAAAACTAGAGCTTCATTTTTGTAGTGAACTACTTTTTTCTAGCTTCAGTGGTTTCGGAGATATGCGCCTTTAAAGTTAGCTTGTCGAAGTGCAAGAGACGGGCAAAGTTTAAAGGCGCATATCTCAAAAACCACGGTAATTCTGGAAAAAGTGTATACCATTGATTTCTTGATTATTTTTTGATGGTCATTTTTCACTTTCAAACCAGAAAACCAATTATTCTTATAAAACTCAAATTATTGGGATGAGAGGATTCAAATAATCTTGTAGGAACTTCTTTCTTGTGGTACAATAAATATTCAAAAAAATTTTCAGAATTCATATTCATTGAACAAAAAAAATTGAATTGTCGGTTTTCATACAAGACCCGTATCTATAAACATGTCAGGATGTGAGAATTGAACTGTGAAGACGTTAAAAAGTGCCGCTAGCTCGCCACGTGGCCGATTTTTCCAGATGTCGTTCTGAAAAAGGAATCTATAAATAACATAAGTTCTCTAGCGAACTTCAAGCTCAACTATCTCGATTCCTATCAAAGATATCAGGAATTTGTTAACTGATAAAATGTCGGTCATACTATCAATAACACTTTTTGAAGCTTTTAAACTTTCGATAAAGAGTTAATAGAGCATGAATTGCAACCCACCTGTATCGCATTATTTATCTGCATCAACTGACTCAATCTTCCCGAATACCTTGTCATTTTCGTCTCATTCACATAATAATTGTGTAAATCATCTGACAGAACTTCTAAAAATCGATCACAAATGTTCATAACATCTCCTTGAAATCGCTTTCCAGCGTATGAGAAAACCAACTGAGCCAGCATGAAATTAAATTCCATATCGGTTATATTTAGCTCTCCGAGTTTTTCAATTTCTGAAGCCAAGTCGAAAACAGCAATGCTGTTCAGGAAGCTGAAAATTTGTGGTTTTTTTAGATTGAATATTTTTGAGCTCAATTATCACAACTAAAAAACGATTATCCAAAAAAAACAGCAATATTTATCAGATCACCAATTTAGAGTTTCTTCCATAACGACAAAGATAATTGAGCTCAAAGTGCAAATATTAAAAACTGGAACTCACTAAAAAACTTGTTCCTGTGGATACTTGGTGAGATGAGTCAAATCAACTTTTGTGCGATCCAAGTCCATAATTATGCCATTGCTCATTGCCCACATTCTATTGTTATGGCAAATTTTCCTTTTTCGAGCACTTGCAGTGGATAACATTTTGTCTAATCTCCCAAAAACGTGCCAAATAGAGCTCAGGAGCTGGAGCTGAAATTTCGAAATGTTTGATGTTTTGAAATTTTCGGAACTTTTGGATATTTCGGATTTTCATTACCTTTGCTTCTTGAAAATAGGATTTTCGGTGAGTAGGTAGATTTCTGGCCTTTATTGTTCAAGATTTTTTGAGATATCAGATTTTTAGATGTGTAAAATTTTTCTTTTGATCATTTTTAGACTCTTCGCACTTCAAAACTTTTGGTTTTTTCTGTCGTTTAGAATTTTTCAAACTTTCTGAATCTTTAATTTTCAGAACTTCTCTTAGATCTTTTAGAATTCAATTCAAAAAACTTCACCTTCATTGCTTGTGGAATGGTCTGAAACTCATCAAAATAAGTCAACCATTTTGCAGTTCTTAAAAAATAATACTCCCAGAAAAATGACATTTCTCCACATGTCAACGTTTTGAACATTTTGCAATCCTTGCTGAAACTCGATGCGATGGTGAGCTTTTTCAATTGTGAGTTTCCACAATATGGAGTTTCAGCACCAGAAACGAAAATTTCTGATGCTTTTTTCATTAATTCGTTGAGATCCACAAAAGTTTTTTTGCAAAAATCATCTGGAATACAAAAGATGACAAGATGTCCGATGAAAGTTGAGAATGTTTCCGGAATCTTTTGAATTGTTTTCAGCGGATCTCGGTTGTGTTGGAATTCTGGAATATTTCAGAATTTTAGACTCTTGAGAAGAAAACCCACTATCAATATTCATCCCGACCGCGTAGCACCTTCTTAGTCTACAGGGTTTGCACAATTTCGAATTTACATCACAGTGAATAGATTGGCATTGAAGTTTGGTGTATTTTGTACCAGCACGTCTTCTGAAAATTCGAAATGAAACAGATACAATATTTCAGTGTAAAATGCTAACTTCAGATCTCTGTAAAAGTATTCCAGAATTTTTCGATTTGTCTGAAAATTTTTAGATTATACAGAACAAAACAAGAGTTTTATTTTCGTTTTGCATTTTCTGAAATTTTCGGGCAAGTCAAAATATTCTGGATCATCATGGACTATTTTCCGTATCTGTCATCAATTTTTATATTAATTTCAAAAAATAAGATAATCAGATTTCAGAATTCCAGACTTTTGAAATTTCAGAAAAAAACAAATCTCACCTAAAAAACACGGCACACGCTCTACAACATTGCACATCAAAATGGTTCCCATGATTGTTTTCGGTTCCACAAACTAGACAATTTCGAATTGGGGACCTAGTCATTTTTTATGGAAATATTCAAAACTTGGCCAAAAAATATAATAAATGTGTATACGAATAGAACAAGAAACAATCTAGATAGATAAGACAAACACAGAAATTGGCCGGCGAGAGATAAGAGACCCAGGCGGTGAAAGAAAAGTATAGACACAAAAAAATCTTGTGACCCAGTGATGCAATTTACTGCCTAGAAAAGGTCTAGGCAGGTTTCGGAAAACTAAAATTTTGGAAAATCTGAAATTCTGAAATTCGGAAATTTTGACGTTTTGAAGTTTTGAAATTCTGAAAATTTGAAAATCAAACTTTCGAAAAAAGTTTAAATCTCAAATGTGGAGATTCTGAAATGCGGAAGTTTTAAAATTATGAATTGCTTAACTGCTGCGACTCTGAACTTGATATTATTGAATATATTCATATTGAATATATTGAATATTGAGATTCTGTTATTCCAGGAATCTGTCATTTTTGAATATTGAGATTCGGAGATTTCAAGATTCCAAAATTCTGAGTTTTTCAATTTCACACTAAATGCTACAAACCATTGAGACAACTACAAACCACAAATTGGTCAGAAAATTATGTCACCGGTCAATTTTTATCTTATCTCATTTTTTTGTGCCTGTTTATGAAATATTTTATACAATTTGTCAACATAATCATTTTTTTAGAACTTTAAATGCAACCTTGTCTAGTTTGTCAGTCTCCTGGACCACATGGTTTTCATTTTGGAGTGATCAGCTGTCGCGCCTGTGCCGCGTTTTTTCGAAGAGCCGCATTTTCGAAATGGAACAGTTTGAAGTGTAAAAGTAAAATGTGCAATATGAATTTGTGAGTTTTTTTGAGCTGAAAAAATATAAATATATCTACGAGTTTTTTCAGAAATTATTGCAAACCATGTCGTCTACAAAAGTGCTACGCGGTTGGAATGGAAACTAGTAGTGAGATTAAAAAAAATTATTGCACAAACAAGTTTCGAAGAATTCTGAGATTCTGAAATTCTGAGATACTGAGATTCTTAAATTTTGGGATTCTGAAATTCTAGGATTCTGAAATCCTGAGATTCTTAAATTATGGGATTCCAAGGCTCTAAGATTTTAAGTTTCTGATATTTTAAGAATCTACTGTTATAGGATTTTGAGATTCTGAAATCCATAGATCACGGTTTTCTGAAAATAAGAGATTCCGAATTTTTGTAGTTTAAATTAATTTTCAGATTTCCAATACCATCGAGACAGTCTTCATAACACAAAAAATACCATTATGATTTCTAGAAAATCAGAAATTCCCAAATCCTTCCAGTCCTTCGTTGGCCGTCCAGAAATGATTTTGTTTTGGGATTCCGAGAAATCTACAACGAATAAAACCTACGTAGACGTCAATTTTCTTATCGAAGGAGCAACGGAAATTTTCAGACAACCTATGGAAATGGTTCATTTAACTGAAAATCGATTGAAAAGATTAGCTGTTGGAATGAATTCTGTTAGAGGAAAAAATCAAAAATATCAGTTGGTGACAACTATATCGCAAAAGGAAATATCCAGTATGTGGCAGTTTTATTTTATTACTGTAGCAAAATGGTTGATGCATTTTACGGAATTTGAGAAGTTGGATATGGAAGTGAAGGTAAATTTCTGAATTTCTGAATTTTGAAAAAAAAACAATTTCCAGCTAACCATCCTCCAAACTGTCTGGCATGTTTGGCAAAACCTAGATCACCGTTCTTTGATGGCTTTTCATCAGAAAAATAATCCAAATTTTCCAAAACATCATACAATCTCAAGAACGGGAGTGTTGTTGGACAAGGCAAATGTTCATTTTGATGCCTCGTGGCTCAGTGATTATCCGTCTCGAGAAGTTGGCGGGTGAGGATTACTGTACTAGATTCATCTGGCTTACTGTAACAAAAAAGACAAAAAGGACATATTTTTGAAAAATATGTTAAAAATTATTACAAATTAAAAATATTAGAACTGAAAAGAGAGTTGTGCTTTGTACAAATAAGTAGTTCTTTACAAAAATGAAGCTCTTATTTTGATCAGTACACTCTGAAATTTTCAGACAAATTGGAAAACTGTGAAATACCTTTTTCGGATTTCTAAGTTTACGTTTTACCATTGAATGTCAAAACACGATTTATAAAGAAAAATTTCAGATTTCTCCGAGTTCCTGGAAATGATAACATTACTGAAAAACTGAAATCACTGGATCCAACTGATATTGAATTGACTTTCATGCTTGCTCAGCTTTCATTTGAATATGCTGGAAAACGATGTCAAGGGAAAATTCTGGAAACGCTGGAACATTTCCAGAATCTGCTTGCGGATGACATACATCAATATTATACAAAAGAGCTTCGAATCGATAATTATTTTGATCGATTAGCGAAACTGATGAAAATCAATAATTCGATTCAGAAGAAAATCTGGGAGGCCAGACCGAGAATGGAGCTGGCGAAAGTGTTTAATTTGATCAAATTGGATTTTTCGCATCCCGAAATGTTTATTGATTCGGGTTATAATTGAGGTGTTTTGTTTGATGATAATATTTGAACTTTGAACACAAATTCTTGGAAATTGTAGAAATTTACATTAGTGAGCTGTTTTCCAGTAAATTCTTTTATTTCCCTGAATTTCTGAAATTCCTTTTCAGGGTTTCATACTTTCGGAATTTTTTTTCATCTCTTGAATTGGATGTCAAACATCACCTGGACGTCTTCAAGTAAATCATGCCCTCAACATCTTCACATGTCCACCTTGACAGATAGGGCACACGATTTTTGAAAATTTGATAAAAAATTTGGTCTACTTGATCGTCTTCAATTTTGAAAGCGATTCCATTTGTGGAGAATTTTTTCTCTGAGTCAAATTTTCCAAATCGACCGGGATTTTTTTAAAACAAATTCTAACCCGAATTTAGAGCATAATTGAAGAGAGCATCTGTAAAATGAGATACATTACTTTGTCTGAAAACATATGAAAATGTCTCAAAGTATTTTTTTTAATGTCTGAAAAGGAAAAATATTATTTTGAACTGTCTTAAAAAATAGTGTTTTGAGTAAAAAACCAACAAAATTTGGAAAAAATAACTTACCTTAATTAGAAATCCAAATATCTCACTATATTAATTTTTTGATAGATGTGCAAAATGGAAAAAAAAAGAAAAAAAAGTGATTTTTACCACTTTGATTTTTATTCTTCAATGTTTGCCAAAAATGAAATCACTCAACAAACAAAAATCATTTTTCTAGAAAATAGGAGGAAAAATTGAGAGTCGTCGTAAGAAGCATGAAGCTACAACACATCCAAAAGAGAGATAAGAGATCTCGTAGTTATACAATTTGAAGTTGATCTACAAACTTTTTTTGATCTCTATCCGAAATTTTTCAATTTTCTAGGTTCCAAAATTTTTTAACCGAAAATTTCAAAATTGATATCCAAACTTTTTTTCTGATCTCTAGAATTCAGATATCCATTTTTTTAAAAGTTTTAGATCAAATCTACTTCTTACTAAGGAAACTTTTCTGTGTGTGTGTCTGTGTGTCCGTCTCGGACATTTACTTGAATACCTCCAAAAGGCATGGGACTCCTATAATAGTGTGTGGTATGTAGCCATGGACTACCGAGCGCTTCATGTCTATGGTGTACTGGGCCTTCTAGCTAACATGGAACCTACAGGGTTGAGAATCGAAATTTTCAAAATTATGCTCAAACTCAATAAAACTTTATAAAATTTTGCAAAACGGTTTTTTGGCCTATCTATGTGTTGCCTACATGAAATTGAGCAAAAATTTTGAAAAATTCGTTTTTTTCGTATATCACTTATCACGGAAAATCGAGTTCTCGAATTTTTTCTCGACTTTTTTTTCGGAAAATCGAGTTCTCGAATTTTTTCTCGACTTTTTTTTTCGGAAAATCGAGTTCTCGAATTTTTTCTCGACTTTATTTTCGGAAAATCGAGTTCTCGAATTTTCTCGAATTTCAATTAGTCAAAAATTACCAGTTTATTTGACAAAAACAACAAAAACAACAAAAAGCACAAAAATGAGTCTTTCTGGAGTCTTTCTGCTCGTTGAAGAATCGGTTGCAAATATTACACTTTTTCCTTCCATCCGCCAGATTTGTCAATACCGCTGAGTATTTTCCCATGTTTAGTCTGAAAATTCCGTTAAATTCAGACAAAGTTACTCACTGCAAAACCAACAATTTTAAGAAAAACTTTTGATGACCTAAAGTCTGAAAAAGACCAAGTGTTTTCAGTGAGAGAAGGTAAAAAATCACTGAAAAATAAAAGAAGTCTATTAAGAACAGTATAAACCGAAAAAAATGTTGAAAAAGTAATGAAAACCCTGATTAAAGTATGTTTTCATTCAAAAAAAATTAATTTTAAAAAAATTCACCTTAAATCGACCCCGTAAATCGACACCGATTGCGGGTCTCGCCGCGCTTGGGTTACTGTTGCACCCGTTTCAACTATACAAAGTAGAGATTTCCTCTTCACTTTGAACGCAGCATGATTATTTCGAGAAAAAATTTTCCGAATATTTTTCGGAAAATTTTCCGACGGAAAAAATTTCCGAAAAAAAATTCGGAAAATTTTCCGACGGAAAAATTTTCCGAAAAAAATCGGAAAATCGGAAAAATCGAGAACTCGATTTTCCGATTCCGACCAAGCCTGTTGGTAACGTATAGTTTTTGACAGATTTTTTTCCCTCAAAGTGAATCTATCAGAATGAAACTTTATGCATATTATGCCTGCAATTTTTCAAGTTTGATGGGAAATTTGTTGAGAATTCTAGAAAATTCCCGAAAGTTCCAGAAAACTCCAGAAAATTCCAGAACATTCTAGAAAATTCCAAGACATTCTAGAAAGTTTCTGAACATTCTGGAAAATTCTAGAAAGTTCCAGAAAACTTCAGAACATTCTAGAAAATTCCAGAACATTCTAGAAAATTCCAGAAAATTCTAGAAAGTTCCTGAACATTCTAGAAAAAATTTTAGAACATTCCAGAGAACTCCAGAAAATTCCAGAACATTCTAGAAAATTCCAACACAATCTGGAAAGTTCCAGAACATTCCAGAAAGTTCTAGAACATTCTAGAACATTCTAGAAAAATCCAGAAACTTTCCAGAAAGTTCCAGTAAATTCTAGAACATGCTAGAAAATTCCAGAACATTCTGAAAAATTCCGAAAAGTTCTAGAAAGTTCCCGAAAGTTCAAGAAATTCCAGAAAACTCCAAAACATTCTCGAAACTTCCAGAAGGTTTTAGAAAATTCCAGAAAGGGCTAGAAAATTCTGAAAAGTTCTTAAACATTTTAGAAAATTTCAGAACATTCTTGAGCATTCCAGAAAGTTCCTAAATCTTCTAGAAAATTTCAAAAAGTTCTAGAAAATTCCAGAAAATTCTAGAAAATTCCAGAAAGGGCTAGAAAGTTTCCGAAAATTGAAGAAATTCCAGAAAGCTCCAAAACATTTTAGAAACTTCCAGAAGATTATAGAAAACTTCAGCAAGGGCTAGAAAATTCTGTAAAGTTCTAGAAATTTCTGGAAAGTTCTAGAACATTCTGGAAAGTTCCAGAACATTCTGGAAAGTTCCAAAAAGAGCTAGAAAAATCCAGAAGTTTCGAGAACATTCTAAAAAGCTCCGGAACATTCCAAAAAACTCCAAAAGACCCAAAACATCATTAAAGCTCTAGAAAATTGTAGAATAGTCCTGGAAATTCGAAAAAGTTCAAGAATATTCCAAACAATTCCAAGAGTGCCTCGAACGTTGTCAAATTTTAGCTTTCTCTATAAAATATTGCAAAATTTTCTCTATACTTTCATTGTATTTTCTCTATACTTTCATTAAATTCGACAATTAAGGATTTTAGGTTAGGAATTCGAGACTTTAGAAAATCAAACAATTGTATTCCCTTTTCAAGAAACATGTATTCTATCGTGTAGAAACTCGGAAATTCAGAAAATCGGATATCTTTTTTCTCAAAAAAGCGACAAGACTTAAAGGTGGGGGGACAGGAGATTTTACGGGGGATTTTTGGGGCCAGAGTATGCATTCTACCGTGACGGTGTACAACGCTTAATGCCACTCTGCGTACAGCTGTCGTCCTCGCCTTTATGTATGCGATCGGGCGGCAGCTTCCTCTTTGCCCGCGTGGCTCAGTCGGTAGCGGCGCCGCACCCTCAATTCTCGCCCCCCACAAGTTCAACTCCTCGAGGGGCATATTTGAAAGATTTCGAGAACACCATTTTTTTCATGTCTCCCCACCTTTAAAAGAAATTATCAGAACATTGAAAAAAGTACGCCTGTTTTATCAGAGGTAGGCATCAAATAGATGTGGGCTTCTATTGGAGAAATCACGGTATCTAGAAATTCCCATATTAGTAACATCCAAAATTTAAAAATCGAAGTAATTGGAAGTTTCGGGCACTCGGAAAGTCAAAAATCTAGACATTAGAAATTCAAGTGTAAGATACAGTGAACTGAAGCCAGGAGGTTAGCCCCCGACAGGGGGCTCAAACCGACTGGTTTTTTTCTAATATAACTCTTTGAATCATAACTTTTTCTATGTAAAAATGTGTTTTTTTTGTTCAATTTTTTGTTCTTGTCCTTTACAAACATTCTGAATTTCGAAAATCCGAAAGTTTTAAACGTTCCGAAAAATCGAAAAGAAATCAAAAAGAAATATTTTATAAAAAAGTTTCGAGATCAATTTTTAATATTCTAATTTCGGGATCACTTATGTAACTCTTTTGTATGTTGAAGCTTCATGCTTGTTATGACGCCTTTCCATTTTTTTTGCTTCCTTTTCTCCAGAAAAATGATTTTTGTTTGTTGAGTGATTTCATTTTTTGGCAAACATTGAAAAATGAAAATCAAAGTGATAAAAAATCACTTTTTTTTTCATTTTTTTCCATTTTGCACATCTTACAAAAAATGAAAAAGACCAAACCAATGTGGCAGGAACTACCTGAACTCTTTAAAATTAATCTAGTGAGATATTTGGATTTCAAATCCAGGTCAGTTTTTTTTAGTTTCAATTCATTTCCAGTCATTTTCAGCTGTGCAAGATATCGACTTTTTCAGACTTCCAGTTTATTTTTAGACTTTATTGAATAATTTTTGTTCTTTTCAGACATTGTCGGATGTTTTCAGACAAATCAATGTATCAAATTTTACAGATGCTTTCTTCAATTTTGCTCTAAATCGGAGTACGAACTCGTTCAAACAATTCCGGTCGATTTGGAAAATTTGACAATTTACTCCGAGAAAAAATTCTCCATAAATAGATCCACTTTTGCAATTTAAGAAAATCAATTAGTCCAAATTTTTGCTCAAGTTTTCAAGAATCCGAATTCAAAAATTCAGGAAATTATATTTGATTTCACAACCGGCAAAAATGATTCGAAAATTTTCATGGAAAATTTGAAAAAAAACTGGAAATGCTGAAATTAGAACCAGAAATTTCTCGAGATTTTTTGGACCAAATCTGTGAAACTGAGCAATGGAAATCTGTCAAACAACTCGAAGCGACTGGAAATTTCGATACAAAAATTGATTGGTTTATGCATTTTGAGAAGATTACCGTACAGAAAATATATTTTCTGAGTGTGGAAAAAGCAGTGGAAGTTGTTAAGGTGGGTTTTTTTTGTAATTTCAGAATTTCAGAATATGCCAAAATGTTCAATTTCAGAACTTTCGAAATCGAAGTTTATCAGTTAGATCATTTTTCAAAATTTGCACAGAGTTTCCAATGAAGTCATTTGTACGGAATCTTTCTAATTTTTTTTGAATTTTCAAATTTCATTCACCAATTTTTTGTCTTTTACCGATCGTGTGTAAAAATAAAAAATTCAATCAGGTGTTGTAAAGCCTTATCAGTTGCATGATTATATGTACATCAAAAATGTCCAGAGATTATAAAAATTAGAAAGACGCAGAGAAAAGCAACAAAGAAATCAAGCCAGAGAACCGGCAGACTATAGAACGCGATAAGCATTCTATTTTTTTTGGGTCGGCTAGTCACGTATAATTTCATTTTGTACACACTACTAGCCATCTGATATCTTTTGATCCAAAATTGTTCGTTTTTGCAACACTAATTTTGTTAAAAAATGATCCGAAAAGCTCGTCCGATTTGGCAAGAACTACCGGACCACTTCAAGACGGATGTGGTGAAAATATTGGATTTCAAGTCGAGGTGAGTATCGGATTTTTTTTGTTGGTTTTCAAGATTCTCAAAAAGCATGACTACCCCAAAAATATCTTATTTTAACATTTTCGATCACGAAATTTGAAGTCCCAAAAAAGTAGACCAGCAATTTTCAAGTTATCTGAGCATTTTAGAATACACTAAACAAAAAGAGAGCTTCTTTTTTTGTGGTTGACAACGAGATATGCGGTTTCCAAATTGCACAACTAAAATTCAAAAAAAAATTAATTTTTACATGCCAGAATATTTTACTTTCACTTTTAAGATTTTACAGCAAACCAAAACCTCCACTTTTTTGGAAATTTTCAACATTGTGATGTCTGATTTAACATATAAGGAACATTTTTACACATCTTTTACACATTGTGGCTGTCCAATTTATCTGTCCAAACAGGATCTAGAACTTTTGAAAGTGCATGAACATCGGAAAATCTGGTTTTTTTTGGAGAAAGTGAAAATTGGAAAAAAAAAGTTTTGAGTCAAAATTTCATAAAATGCAGAAATTCCAAAAAAACTATCAATTTCGGGATATTCCGGAAAGTTTTAAGGTTTTCGAAAGGTTAAGAAGTACTGAAATCATTGGCAGTTTAATAGATTATTTATTCCAGAATTATTTTGAAACTTAAAACCAAAAAATCCGAAAAATCAGATTATTGGCAAATTTCGAAACTCAGAAACTCCACAGGTGGATCGCGTGGAACGTTATATGGGATCGCACGGTGCAGTATATGCTTGCATTACGAAACATATAGGGGCGCATTGCGCGAGCATATAGGATCCACGCGCTGACCAAGGGGCCATAATGCGCCCATATAGTGTCCGGCGCGATCCACCTGTGTTAGAGCTTCTGAATTGCTGAATTTCAGAAATATCAAATTTTCAGATGCTGCTTAAAAATCTGCTCGGGATCCGACCAAATTCTGGTCAAGTCCTGCTCGAATAATTTCAAAACCGTGGTGATCAGTCCACCGGATAAATTGGAACTGGATCATAAAATTTATACATGCTCAGGAATCGATCAATTGATTTCATTGGTTATTCATATTTTCGAGCATCCAAAATCGAGTGCAAAACAGATCGAATTCAATTTTGATAGACGAAATGAGCCGGAAAATGTGCAATTCTTCTTGGAAACCTTTTTGTGTTGTCTGAAAGCGAACATGAAAAACATCAAATTCAAATGTCGGGTTTTCAATTATCAAGAGTATCATAACCGCATTCTGGAGGATCATTTTCTGAAAGTTTTGCAACTTTTCGATTCAAAACATCTGATTGAAATCAATTTGTCATCTGCGATTTCTTCAGATTTTATTGAAAAAGTTTGTGCATCTGAGCAATGGAAAAATGCCAAGAAACTGAAAATTATGGGACATTTTGATTATGATTTTCCAATTGAACACTTTTTACATTTCAATCGGATTATTATCAAGAATATTCGAAGTTTGAGCGCTGAGAAAAGCTGTAAATTCATTGAGGTTTTGGAAATTTGAAATTTGAAAAAAGAGGACAGTTTTTTGCAGAATTTCCTGAACAAAAATCCATCGAAAGGATCCATGTTCACTTTGGAAACTGATATTCCGCTTCTGATTGATGAAATTCTTCCTAAACTTCCAAATGAATGGCAAGGTGGAACTTATTTAATGAACTTGTGAGTTTTACAAATTTTTGTCCGGATATTCTGAAATTCTGAAGTTTTGAATTTCTGAAATTTTGTTATTTTGAGCTTTGGAAATTTAGAAATTTGGAAATTTGTGTATTCTAAAAATTCAGAAATTCCAGAAACGAGTTTTCAGACCTCAATACGTTCATAGTCGAGTTTACGATATGAAAGATCCAAAACTGAAACTGGTACTCAAATTTGAACGTGACGCTATTCTTGGAGCCGTTTGTGATGAGCAATGGATGGAAGCCGATTTCAGATGGTCCGTTTACAGATGTCGAATGGATTGGTGATCTTAATTCTTTTATCGACTTTTTCAAATTGAAAAAAAAACTATAATATGTCTGTATAATTTATTCAACTTGACTTCTTTTGTATTTTTTTCAACATTGAAACTGTTTCTATTTTTATATGAAATGATGAATAAAGAAAAGGGGGAGAAAAACAAAGAAATGACGAAACATTTAAAAAAATAATACAAATTACATCAACCCGGTGTCCCTGAACATTTCGGGATGCGAAAAGTCCAAATGGAATACATCAAACACTTTGGCAACTTCCGCTCGTCCTCTGTACAACCGTATGTTCTCCAGAATCTCCTTATTTATTCTGAGCAATTTCATCAATCTTCCCGAATATCGAATCATCATTCGATCTTTTGTATAATACTCATGTAGATCATTGGATAGTTCACCAAGGAATTGTTCCATTACTTCGGACATTTTTCCACCGTATCTCGATGCCACATATTGGAAACAAAGATGAGCAAGCATAAAGGTTAGCTCCGTTTCTGTTAAGTCCAAACTTTGAATTTCATCGATGAGATGGAGAAGATCCAAACCACGCATACCGTCGAGGAAAAATCTGCTCAAACACTTCATTCTGTCCCATTTCGATTCTGCGGCTCTTCTGAAATTTTTTCGAAAATTTCAGCAAATTTTTAAAAAATACCTGAAAAACGCGGCACACGCTCTACAAGTATTTACTCCAAAATGCATACCATGTCCCGCTTGACCACAAACTTCACAGGAGGACATTTCTGAAAACCTTTAAAAAAAAAGGAATTTTTGCACAAATTTAAAAAAAGCCAATAACGAAAAATTTAAAACAACTGTCAAAAAAAGTTTTAAGCATTATAAATTTATAAATTTATGTATATTAGCGTACTGAACGTATAGGTATACTTTTGAAATTTTGGACAAAAATAAATACAATGTACAATTTTATAACTTTTAGCACTTTGAAATCAATTATCTCGGTTCTAAGAAAGCTACCGAGAATTTATCAACTGATAAAATCTTTGTCATAATATCACCAAGATTTTATCAGTAGACAGATTTTTGATAACTTTTATAGAAACTGAGATAAATGATCTAAAAATTTTGAGTGTAGTTTGGGCGTTTTATAAGAGGAAATACAAATGTACAAAAAAAAATTACAAACAGTTTTACAGTTTTAAAAGTTCAATTTATACAAATCCAGTATCCCTGAACATTTCGGGATGCGAAAAGTCCAAATGGAATACATCAAACACTTTGGCAACTTTCGCTCGTCCTCTGTACAACCGTATGTTCTCCAGAATCTCCTTATTTATTCTGAGCAATTTCATCAATCTTCCCGAATATCGAATCATCATTCGATCTTTTGTATAATACTCATGTAAATCATTGGATAGTTCACCAAGGAATTGTTCCATTATTTCGGACATTTTTCCACCGTATCTCGATGCCACATATTGGAAACAAAGATGAGCAAGCATAAAGGTTAGCTCCGTTTCTGTTAAGTCCAAACTTTGAATTTCATCGATGAGATGGAGAAGATCCAAACCACGCATACCGTCGAGGAAGCTGCAATTATCTGGATTTAGAATTCTGGAATTCAGAAATCTCAGAAAAAATATTTTTACTCACTAGCTCAGCTGCTCTGTCGAATATCTGCTCATCCAATTCGAATCCACTCTCACCAAAGATATATCTGTCAAAACACCATTTCCGATTATTTTCTCCGAAAACTTCGCATTTTTGTTATTATTTCGATAGAGCGCAGTTGCCACCATCTTGTCCAATCTACCCCAGACGTGCCAGACTGCTTTTAAAATGTCTATCTGAAAAATGTGCTTGTGATTTTTCGATTGCTAAAATTCGTTTTAGTAAAAATACCTTGAAATCCATCTCCAATACATCAAAACTGTCAAAATAAATCAACCATTTTGCCGTTGTCAAAACATGGTGCTCCCAAAAACTTGTAATTTCTTTTCGAGTCACTTCTTCAATTTTGTGTCTTTCTTCGTTCTTTTTCAAACAGTTCAATCCATATTTCAATTTTTGAAGTCCATTTTTCGCAATCAATGGTTTTTCGGCGCCAAATTTGAAAATATCCATTGCCTGAGACATTAAAAGACTCATATCCACATAAGTTTTTGTTTTTTGGGTTGAAGAATGGAAAAGGACAAAATGTGGTTTTCCAGATAATAATTCTACAGTTTGAGGAAGTTTTCGTTTTCGACTGAAGCTGTTCGTATAGATTTGAACTGTATCTCGGCCGTGTTGAAAATCTGAAATTTGTAGACATCTGGACAAACAGACACACAGAGAAAACTTACTTGATGTGCTCATTCCAACAGCTCGACACTTTTTTAGACGACATGGTTTGCAGTGGTAGATGAAAATTGGTTTTTGAATGTTCAAAATTTCCTGATATTCCTAAAATTTTCAAAAAAAAAAACTAACTTTCTCTCGTCACAAAATCTGCTCAAACACTTCATTCTGTCCCATTTCGATTCTGCGGCTCTTCTGAAATTTTTTCGAAAATTTCAGCAAATTTTTAAAAAATACCTGAAAAACGCGGCACACGCTCTACAAGTATTTACTCCAAAATGCATACCATGTCCCGCTTGACCACAAACTTCACAGGAGGACATTTCTGAAAACCTTTAAAAAAAAAGGAATTTTTGCACAAATTTAAAAAAAGCCAATAACGAAAAATTTAAAACAACTGTCAAAAAAAGTTTTAAGCATTATAAATTTATAAATTTATGTATATTAGCGTACTGAACGTATAGGTATACTTTTGAAATTTTGGACAAAAATAAATACAATGTACAATTTTATAACTTTTAGCACTTTGAAATCAATTATCTCGGTTACTAAGAAAGCTACCGAGAATTTATCAACTGATAAAATCTTTGTCATAATATCACCAAGATTTTATCAGTAGACAGATTTTTGATAACTTTTATAGAAACTGAGATAAATGATCTAAAAATTTTGAGTGTAGTTTGGGCGTTTTATAAGAGGAAATACAAATGTACAAAAAAAAATTACAAACAGTTTTACAGTTTTAAAAGTTCAATTTATACAAATCCAGTATCCCTGAACATTTCGGGATGCGAAAAGTCCAAATGGAATACATCAAACACTTTGGCAACTTTCGCTCGTCCTCTGTACAACCGTATGTTCTCCAGAATCTCCTTATTTATTCTGAGCAATTTCATCAATCTTCCCGAATATCGAATCATCATTCGATCTTTTGTATAATACTCATGTAAATCATTGGATAGTTCACCAAGGAATTGTTCCATTATTTCGGACATTTTTCCACCGTATCTCGATGCCACATATTGGAAACAAAGATGAGCAAGCATAAAGGTTAGCTCCGTTTCTGTTAAGTCCAAACTTTGAATTTCATCGATGAGATGATGGAGGTCCCAACCACGAATTCCATCAAGGAAACTGTAAAAGGAATTTTAGAATATTAGGTTTTTTGGGAATCTCTCAGAATGCCAGTCTCAGAAAAATTAATTTCTAGAGAAAAAATAGCAAATACAAAAACATTGCGTTTTTAAAGAATCTGTAGCTCTAGAAAAGTTGAGATTTAAAATCCCTGATCTCAAAATCACTCACTATCTTAACTGCTCCGTCGGAAGTCGACTCATCCATCGTGAATCAGTCTTAACGTTCTCTGTGTCCATCATCATCCCATTCCCAAACAATCTTTCTGACGACTTGGCATCCTTGTTATTATTTCGGTAGAGCGCAGTTGCCACCAACTTGTCCAATCTACCCCAGATGTGCCAGACCGCAAAGAGGATTTCCATCTAGAAATTTCAACTTTGAACTTTGAATCTGAAAATTAAATAATACCTTCAAATCTGGATCCAACCGTTCAAACTTGTCAAAATGTGTCAACCATTTCGCCGTTGTCAAAAAGTGATACTCCCAAAATGACGTCACTTCTTTCTGTGTCACCTTTGTTAATTTCTTGACGCCATCTGCCCTATTCCGAAAGTTGTATGCGTAGCTCAACTTTAAAAGTCCATTTTTTGCAACCAGCGGTTTTACGGCTCCGAATTTGAAAATATCTATTGCTTGAGAGATTAGAAGACTCATACCCACATAGGTATGCACTTGTTTTACAGTTGATGGGTCAATTGGACAAAAAAGAACAAAATGTGGAGTCCCAAGACAGATTTCAACAGTTTGGGGTAGTTTTCTTTTGCGGGATACTGTAGCGAGTTGAAGAGCGTCACGGTCATGTTGGAAGTCTGAAAATTGTGGAAATCTGGAAAAACAGATAAACAGACAAACAATACTCACTTGATGTGCTCATTCCAACTGCTCGACACTTTTTCAGACGACATGGTTTGCAGTGGTAGCTGAAAATTATATTTTTGAATTTTATTGAAAATCTATGTTCAAATTATTCTGGATTTTCAGAATTTTAGAATGTTAATAATTTCAGAATTTCCCGAATCTCTGAATTTCCGATTTGCAGATATCATAATTCTCAAGATTCCTCAATCTCTGAATTTCTGAATTTCTGAATTTCTGAATTTCCGAATTTCTGAATTTCTGAATTTCTGATTTTCTGAATTTCAAAATTTCTGAATTTCTGAATTTCTGAATTTCTGAATTTCTGAATTTCTGAATTTCTGAATTTCTGAATTTCTGAATTTCTGAATTTCTGAATTTCTGAATTTCTGAATTTCTGAATTCCTGAATTTCTGAATTTCTGAATTTCTGAATTTCTGAATTTCTGAATTTCTGAATTTCTGAATTTCTGGATTTCAGGATTATTTTCTTTTCTGAAACTCGTTGGTTTACGGAACTTTTTTTCGATGTCACATTTATGGTTTCTTTCTTATTTTCCCGAAATTATGATTTTCTAGAAAACTGAATTTCGTAATGCTTTTCTATCAATTTTCTTTCCAAAAATAAAATTGGTGATGCAATTTGATTATTTCTCCTTTTCTAATTATTTCGCTGGACAAAAAACGAAAAACAACAGGAAATTAACAATTTCTTGAGACAGAGATCAATTTTTCAACAAAATTCTTACGCTTTGCCATCACAATGTTTGCTCAGACATTCCATTGTGCTCCATTTCGAGTCAGCTGCTCTTCTGGAAATTTCTTTCTTTCGCAGATTTTTCAGAATTTCAGAATCTTTGAGTTTCCAAAAAAAGGTACCTGAAAAATGCGGCACATGCTCTACAACTGATAACGCCGAAGTGATTTCCTTGACCATCTTGGCCACAAATTTCACAAGGCGGACCTTCTGAATTTGTCATTCTTCAGAAGACGTCCTGTAGAATACGTTCTGTATAAAATTTTTTAGACAAGACAGGTGACGTTGAAAAAGAAGAAAGAAAAAAACGAAAAAGAGGGTGCGAGTGATACTGGAAGAAATACAATACGTAGTAAGTGAGAAAGAAAGAGAGAGAGAAGAAAGACGCAGATGACGAAACGGAAATTGGGAGATTATATTTGTTTTGTTGGTCGGGAAACTTGGCGGGAAATGTGAATTTTGGGAGAGAATTGAAAATTTTTGAACTCTCAAAAAATTGGAGGTATTCTATAAATTCAAAAATGATAATTTAAAAAAGTAATTAAATTTCTAAAAATCTGAAAAAAAGCTGAAAATGTGCCATAACGCATGCAAAATTGCTGAAAACTAATTAAAAGGGCGGAAAAACATGAAAAAGCTACTTTAAAATAGTGCAATATAGCAAAAAATCACAGAAAAAAAAACTAAACAAAAATACTGAAACATAGCTGACAAAAGCGAAAAATCGATAATTCCTGGAAATTCGGAATTCCAACTTTTTAAAATTCTGGCCTTCTGAATTTCAATTTCAAATCATTAATGGTTTTTGTTAGCAATTTTGAAAATTAGAAAGAGGGATTTTCAGAAAGTTTGAAATTCAAATTGAAAAAATGTACGGCTCTTTTCTAGTTTAGAGGTCCGGAAAAAGTTTAGAGGTCCCAAGAAAAAATAGAGGTCCCAAAATAAAATAGAGGTCCGAAAAAAAATTAGAGGTCCCAAAAAAATTTAGAGGTCCCAAGAGAAAACAGAGGTCCGATATTTGAAAAGCGCGCAGGTATTAGAATAATGTGCCAGAATTTGGGGTTTTGAGATTTGAGGCTCTCTAGGATGATAAGAGCGGAAATGTGACTTCTCCTGATAGTTTTGGCTTCATTTCTTTTTTGTCTTTCTTATGGACCCAAATTTACATATAAGCAAAATGTCGGCAAACAGTAATGCCTCCGTGAATAAGCTTTCTCTCAGGCTTAGATAATTTTCAGAAA